TTTATTTTATATGCAGTGCTGAGAATCGAACCCAGTGCCTCATATGTGCTAGGCAAGTGCTCTACCATTAAGCCACAAACTCCAGCCCCAATCATGTAATTTTTGTCCTTAATTCTATATAAGTGGTGAATTGTATTCATTGATTTATGTATGTGGAACCAACCTTGCATCCCTGGGATATAAGCCACTTGATCATGGTGTATTATCTTCTTTTTTTTTGATGATAACTTGAATACTATTTTTAATTGCTTTTATTTTTTAAATACATGACAGCGGAATGCATCACAATTCTTATGACACATATAGAACACAATTTTTCATATCTCTGTTTGTATATAAAGTATGAACACTAATTCATGTCTTCATATATGTACTTTGGATAATAATGTCCATCACATTCCACCATCATTGCTAATCCCCTGCCCCCTCCCTTCCTCCCCCACCCCTCTTCCCTATCTAGAGCTTGTCTATTCCTCCTATACTCCCTCTCTCCCTACCCCAGTATGAGTCAGTCACCTTTTATCAGAGAAAACATTCGCCATTTATTTTTTGGGGATTGGCTAACTTCACTTAGCATTATCTTCTCCAGATACAGATAGCCTTTATAATGTTGAGGCAAATTCCTTCTATTCTTAGCTTAGAAATAGAAAAAGCAATCATGAAATTCCTCTGGAAAAATAAGAGACCCAGAATAGCTAAAGCAATCCTTAGTAGGAAGAGTGAAGCAGGTGGCATCACTATAGCAGACCTTAAACTATACTACAGAGCAATAGTAACAAAAACACCATGTATTGGCACCAAAACAGACTGGTAGACCAATGGTACCTCTTTCGTTGATTCCCAAGGTTTTTTTTTTTTTTTTTTTTTTTGAGGCTATTGTAAATGGCATAGTTTTCCTCATTTCCCTCTCAGAGGATTTGTCACTGATATACAGAAATGCCTTTGATTTATGGGTGCTGGTTTTATAACGTGCTACTTTGCTGAATTCATTTACTAGTTCTAGAAGTTTTCTAGTGGAGCTTTGGGGTCTTTTCTAGGTATAGAATCATATCGTCAGTAAATAGTGCTAATTGCTCTGGCCAGTGTTTCAAGGACTATGTTAAATAGAAGTGGTGAAAGAGGGCATTCCTGTCCTGTTCCAGTTTTTAGAAGGAATGCCTTCAATTTTTCTCCATTTAGAATGATGTTGGCCTGGGGCTTAGAGTAGATAGCCTTTTATGATGTTGAAATATGTTCCTGTTATCCCTAGTTTTTCTAGTGTTTTGAGCATGAAGGGGTGCTGTATTTTGTCAAATGCTTTTTCTGTGTCTATTGAGATGATCATATGATTCTTATCTTTGAGTCTATTGATGTGATGAATTACGTTTATTGATTTCCTTATGTTGGATCAACCTTGCATACCTGGGATGAATCCCACTTGATCATTGTGCACAATCTTTTTGATATGTTTTTATATTCGATTTGCCAGAATTTTATTGAGAATTTTTGCATCTATGTTCATTAGAGATATTGGTTGTATTATCTTCTTGATGTGCTTTTTTTTTTATTTTAAAGAGAGAGAGAGAGAGAAAGAATTTTTTAATATTTATTTTTCAGTTTTCGGAGGACATAACATCTTTGTTTGTATGTGGTTCTGAGGATCAAACCTGGGCCGCACGCATGCCAGGTGAGCACGCTACCGCTTGAGCCACATCCCCAGCCCCTTGATGTGCTTTTGAATGCAGTTTCTGCAGGCTTTTTGTAGAAATTAACAAGCTGATTCTAAACTTTATATGGAGATGCATCGAGTATAAAAAGGCCAAAACTTTGAAAAAGAACTGATTCAAGATTTATTAAAAAAAAAAAAAAATCAAGAGAGTATGACAGTGGTATAAAAAGAGACAATCTGATTAATAAAACAGAAGAGAAAACCCCAAAACCAATTTATACATATGTACATACAATTTATATATCTGCATATATAAACTGGTTATCAATAAAGATGCTAAAGCAACTCAATAGAAAAAGGATAATTTTTCCATAAGTGCAGCTTGAACAAGTAARTAGCCATATGCAAAATAAAACAGAACAAAATCCCTTGACCTTTAATTCATACTGCATACTAAATTAGCCAAAAATGGATCATGGACCTAATTTAAGAGGTAAAACTATGTAAGACAAAGGACTGTGTCTACAATATATTAAAAAACTCCACTAAGATGAGTAACCTATTTTTTAAAAATATTCTTTTAGTTGTTGATGGACACAAAATCTTTATTTATTTATTGTTATGTGGTGCTGAGGATCGAACCCAGTTCCTCACACATACAAGACATGAGCTCTACCACTAAGCTACAGCACCAGCCCAAAGCAACCTATTTTTTTTAAAAAAGCAAAAAATTTGGACATCAGAGAAGATATATAAATGGCAAATAAGSAAACAAGAATATCTTCAACATGACTGATTAGTCACTAGGAATGAAACCCACGAGATACCGCTACACACTTACTAGAATGGTTAAAATCAAGTCTTGGCACTGGTATGAAGCAACTGGAACTTTTACACAATACTGATGCTGATATTGCCACTGATCCCAAGGAGGCTTTGCTGTGAAAATATCTTCACAAAATCCTCATTTGCCTTAGCATCTGTCAACAGTTCAGCTCAAGTAAAGGAGTTTTTCTAATATTACTTTGATAAAGCTTCATTATTCTTTTACGTTTGGATATGCTGTACTCTTCTGACCACCTCTGAGAGACAGCACTCTGAAGTCTGCATCAAAAAGTAATACTTAGTTCTTAATCTTGGTCTCCATTTTTTCCTCACTGTGGTTATTTCTCACTTCATATCATGCACTTCATTTTGATATCCAATTCTCATGTCATTTTCCCACTATTGCTCAAGTCTTAGGTTATGAGAAAGCATTTCCCTAAATTTCTGTGCAATCTGGTTTCTAAAGTCTACGCCTTATTTCTGATTAAGGTCAATATTCCCCTCTCACGCTGAAAAAACCATAAGATGTCAATACAACATGGCTCACCCACAACACCTATAACTCTCCTTTATCAATTTTTCTACTGAGAGACAAAAGCATACAGTAAGTCAATTTATGAATGCATGTTCAGGTGAATAATGTTAAGAGCATAAAAGTGATTCATTGCCATGCTATCTTGCTTCTGAGTTATTAGAAATAAGTTACAACTTATTTCTTTGACCTTTGAAAGTCTACAAAACATCAAATTCAGGATCTGAATTTTAGAGCTCACGAAAGATTTCATGCCCAAAATCTTTCTTCAGAATATCCAGGCAAATCCATTCCCAAGTAACTAATAGGACCAGAACCTCAGGGTGTTACACCTATATCACTATTGTACAAATTCACAAAGGGTTTTATGTTCTTAGAATCAATCTAATTTCAAGCACCTCTGCCAGAACACTACAACTTCAGTAAAGGGTTTACACATCTCATCATTCAAAACACCATTGCAGGGGCTGGGGTTGTAGCTCAGTGGTAGAGCAAGTGCCTAGCACATGTGAGGTATGGGTTTGACCCTCATAAATAAAATAAAGATTTTTTTTTTATGTTTTAGTTGTAGATGGACACAATATCTTTATTACTTTTTATGTGGTGCTGAGGATCGAACCCAGTGCCTCACYCGTGCAAGGTAGGCACTCTACCACTGATCTATAGCCCCATCCCTAAAAAATAAAGATCTTATGTCCATCTATAACTAAAAAACTATTTTAAAAAAACAAAACCCCACTACAAAGCAGTTAAATTTATAATATTTTAGTGAGACAAAGCAACATTAAAATTAATTTTTATTAAATTCTAAAAAACTTTAGAGAAACATTATAACAAAATCAGACTCCTAATTTTTAAAGCACTATGAAAATAATTTCTTCAGCAAGCAAAAAATATGGACATCTTTAAGAAGTAACTTGACTCCTCACATGTACTTTCTGATACCCTGGAACTACTATGGAAGCAAATTCTTTTAATCTACATGCAATTAACTACTTTATCCTTTTCTAACCAGTATCACTTTCTTTGGCTTAAAAATAAAATATTCAATTTTAAAGCAAGTTTTAAAAATATTCCTAACCTTTGACTAAAATGTATTAAAGATTTAGTAAAAATTTAGTAAAAATTTCATATTCAATGTGTCTTTGAAAAACATGGATTGTAAACAACTAAAGTCATCGGGAATTTCTATGAAACCATTTGATAATTCCCATATAACAGGGAAAAAAACCTCAACAAGATAAAACAGAGATGTGGATGCTAGTTGTAATTCTACCATAAACTACTTGTATGACCTTGCTCAAATCATTGAGCTTTTATACACATGTTTATATGACTTCATACATTTGTATACTTATGCCCAAGTATATGTTAAGACTGAAATCTAACCCAGGTCTAAAATTCTGTTTCTAATAAAAACCAACAGGATGGTTAGGAGACTGGGTTAATCATATAAAGTACCATTATATCTGTGTTCTGGTTTTAAATGATTTAAAATATTTCAAAGTCTGTGATTACAACTAAGATATGTAAAAGAATTTTAATATCTATAGCAATATATTATCAGTATAAATGCTTAACGGAGTTCTAAAAATAGCATGTTAATACAAAATATGTTAGGTAGAAGCTTTATTTTCTACCACTGTACTCTCCTATTAACCTTAAATATTCAACTTTTTTGATATGTCATTTTTTTCTTGAAAGCATATTCACCAATTTCTCCCATATCTGGTAAAAAGCTATAGTGCTCTCTTGTGTTAAACTTTTCACTTCAATGGCTTACAGAATCAAGAAAAGGGGGCAGGGGCAACTATAGGCTTAAACTTAATTAAAACTTTACAGAGATCAACAACAATAGTTTTCTGTTCACCCAACTTTTCAGGACTGAATAAGGACTGGCTCAAACTATCAAAACATCCAAGAAAAGAAAAGATACTCTGAAAAGACAGCAGACCTCATATTAGCAGTTTAAAAAGTAAGATTGAARCAACTTACCATTGTTCCAAAAGGAATGGCTCTTGAAGCATGGTAATAAATGGCTATAAAATTGATGAAGAAGGCTGTGCCACACACCATAGCTGGGATAAGGAATGCCCCAATGAACATCTGTTTTATCCATCTCCTTCCTAAAAGAGAAGGGAAACTATAAAAATTAGAGCTAGACAGACAAAAGCATATTAATGTTAAAATGTAACTATTTAGAACTAAGTTATTTACTTAAGAAACAAAAACAAAAAACCCTATTTTGTTCTAATTCTGCCAAGGAAATGCTATGAACTTTGGTAAGTCACTCCATCTCTCTGGGTTATAAATTGGCCTAGATAGGAGTTTTTAATCTATTAGAGCTATGGAGCTTTCGACTTGCCCATGAGGTCCATGACAAAGGAAAACCCCAGGTCCCCTGGCCCTCCTTCAATCACACTTTAATTTTCAGTTTGGCACAATGGAGTTTCGCATAAGTTTTTATTTGAAAACGGAGTTACACACCACTTTTAAAAAATGTCTTTAAATCTCTGGGTTAGATGATCTCTAACTTCACTTTTAGCTCTACCACTATACGTAAATATGTATTTAAATGCATTTCTATGTTTAAAAGGGGGGAAAAATGTTTCATGATCCCACTCTCAGCAATAACTACAAAAGTTTCACTATTTTTGTGCCTCCGTGTACTGCCAAAATTCACACAGCACATATTATTCAAGTAAACAAGGGAAGAAATATTTAACTATAATCAAAAACTTTAAATCAGCCAGGTGCGGTGGTGTACACCTGTAATCCCAGCAGCTCAGGAGGCTTAGACAGGAGGATTATGAGTTCAAAGCCAGCCTCTGCAACAGTGAGGTACTAAGCAATTCAGTGAGACCCTGTCTCTAAATAAAATACAAATAGGGCTGGGGATGTTGCTCAGTGGCTGAGTGCCCCCAAGTTCAATCCCCAGTACCCGGGGGGGGGGGGGGAGACAAACAAACTTTAAATCATGTTCATATCAACAAGGAAAACAACACAGGGAGCTAGCTGTCTTTCTAATATGGCAGAGTGAACAAACAAGTTTACTGCCAATGGAAAACATCTTCATACAACTTAGGGACAGAATGTAAAGATCTAACACCACATCATTATGAAAATTCAAACCCACAATCATAAGCAATAGGGCCCCAAACAGAAAATGCCACCAGGAGGAACAACTAATATCCTAACTTTTGTTTTTCTCTCTATAAAGCCCTTTTTAAACATTCATCTCACAGAATTAACATTCCTCCAGAAAAACTCCTTGATTCGGAACCTTCTCCTCTATTTCTTTTTCAAGAACCCCCTTCTTCCCAATAATACTGAGCACTTCAACATAACCACAAAAAGGGTGGCAACTAAAATATTTCTTCTATTTAATTCCAACACCTTCCTAGCACTTTCCTTTCCTGCACTTTTCATATCTTCTCAGATTCAGACCTGTATCAATAAAGCTCCTTATCCAACTCTATTTCTCCCTTTCCTTCTAATAGAAAGAATTCCATGTACATGCCAATGGGTACAATCAGTAGCCCAGTTATCTATGCTGTACTTTCTACTGCTCCCCACACCCATGGAGACTCTAATCAAGTTCCAGGTTATCCCTGGCTTCACATTGGGTCTAGAGCATTATTGGGGATGGTGAACTCAAGGTATCTTGAGTCCCACTATACCGAACTACAGGATTTGAATATCCTGAGCTTAGAAATTCTTAATTTCTAAGGTCTCTATTAATCAAAATAAAACTTCAGATGATACTTTCTAAAACCTGATAATCCTAGACTTGAACTTGAATGCTGTCAGCTTTCAAAATCAAGTATAGTAAAGAAAAGTGTGGCTGAATGCTCCTTAACTTTGCAATCAGATTAAAACAAATTTTGTCCAAGTAGGAATAAATTTCCTGTTTTACATAAATTTGTTTCTGCTATGGAGACTTTTCTTGGGGAGTCCATAAACTATAAAATTTTTAGTCTAACTAACTTACAAGTTAACTTCAAAGTAGAAGTGGATGTATCTTAGACATTATCTTAGATATCCTTATTTCCTTAAGGATTTAGTCCTATATGATAGTATTTTGTTTCCTAAAACTGGAAATAGAATTTAGAAGCTAAACATCTAACTAGAATAATCAGGAATGCATAATGCTACTCCCACAGACAATCCCAAGAATTATCTACATAAAAGTAGTATCTATACTGAGAATAGTCTAGTAGGACCTATTGAAAAAAAACAAAGGTAAACCAGAATATCTTGAGGAAATTTTAAATGATCACAAAAAAAAAAAAAATGATCACATACTCTGATTTCTTATAACCTATAACTCTCTCTCATCTCCTAAAGGAAGGCAGGATCCCTTAATGCTTAGGACAGGTTGTGGAAAATCACATTAGAAAGTCTCCATCCTTGGGGCTATAAYTTTAAGATCTTTTAACAACCCTTCATTCATAAACCAAAATATACAAATCTACTATTTTCAGCACTTTTTGAACCCCAGACTATTTATAGGAAAATAAAAGAACTCAAAGACCCCCAAATTCCATTGCAGGAGGGGGAGAAATCAAGGAGCAGTACCATAATGTTATCTATGTATTATTCCCATCATTTCCAGTCACATTAGGAAAGCAGGGGGATACTGAGGATGAAGTGCTCTCAACAAGAGATTGTGACACAGAATAACAGAAATAACAGTCCTTTGATAAATATTAAGACAACAGAAACAAACATCTCTCTTTTCTCTGTCCAGAAGGTTTACCCACAAGCCATTAAACAGGTCTTCATATTCACTATACAGTTATAGCCTCATGGGGTCCCCATATGGGGCACATCTAGGAAGCTGGTATCATAATGCAATGATTTCAACAACTTAAATGCACACTCCTACAGGGCTAATTTCACAATGGAAATAATCTATTAATTATTCATAATTGAAAAAATAAAATATAAGGATTCCATAAAACAGGATAGAGCACATAATAAGTTTATTGGAGTTTATGTGAAATGAAATAACAGAGGATTTCACAATAGCTGTACTACCTATTTTAAATTCCAAATAACSCATGGCAAAATAATAATGTCTATAATTTAAAATACACAGTATTAACTCATAAGTTACCTCCTTGTCTAGCATACAGACTTCCTCCAAAATACCCATTTACTGGAGATGTAGCAGCATAGACAAATATGGCTGTACTGAGCATTGATCCCCTCCTAAAAAGAGTAAAAACATGTAAAACTGAAAATTTTAAGAAAATATCATATTATCATCCTATTAGCATTAACTTAATTTCAAAGACAAATTTTGACAGAAACACAAAATATCACATCCTGGACTGCAAAAAGCCTCAAAAGATTATCTCTAGTGAATGAATTTCTAGTTAAAACTGTATCAGGCTAGTACTATTTTTTTTTCTGGTCTGCAGTTAAATCTCATAATCAACTCTCAATAAATATTTCACATTTTTCTGGCAAAAATAGTAGGCTGGCACCAAAACTGTTTTGCAACCCTGTAAACCAATCCCATCATATGGAACAGGATATTCATCTGTTTAAAAAAAAAATGACTAGAACATTCCTTTGATAACCTGAATCAACTGCTTAAGATTCTTGCCTGCAAGCAGAAATAAAATGGAAGTAGGACAATTTATATTAAGCACTATGACTTTAAGTGGTATAACACTGAACTTTCTTGATCTACTTTCCCTTGTGCTGTTAAAGATGATTTTAAAAAATGTATAGGTCCACATGTCAACATTAACTCAGATTAACAATCTCTAACCTCCCCTTCCAATAATGATATCTAGGAAGTTCAGACCAATATTTCTGTTCAGCAAACTGAGGGAAAAAAAACATTTTTAAAAGGCTAGATGCAAAGAGAACTATTACAATGATAAATAGCAGTATCATTTTCCATAATATAGAAATGGACTTATTAACCCATCACTTATTTCAATGCCTGAGCCTTGCAATATGTAGCACTCTACTACTCAAACACCTATGCTCACCTTCCTAAAGTACATGAGTTAACAGTGGAAACATGGCAATATTTCATTCTCACCGGTACACAGCTAAATGTAAGTATATTATAAAGATTTGTCATTCTCAAATTTAAAAGATCATGAGTCTCAAAGTTAATCAGTTTCAAAAGCCAAATTTGTTATTTCAAGTACCCAATTAAACACTGCAAGCACTAATTTACTCCTTTCGGACCACTGCTAATGACTTTGACCCATTCTCTGTTATAAATGTGTGTGTTAAGGCAGACAAAGACCTAATAATGCTGAAAACAGCAAGGCTACTTTCAGTGTAAGACCAGTCCAATACCTGTCAGAAGTTCCTAATACCAGCAGAAAGGAGTACAAAATGACTACCAAAGTATTTAAAGTTACAGTCCCCAAAGACATTTCCACTAAATGAAAATATGACATCTGTCAAAGTTTTAAAAAGCAGACATACTCTCCACTTCATTGTTCATAACTATTCTATGGGCATTTCATCCTCACCCCCCCAAAATAAAACATTTTCATCTACACTGAAAAATCTGCTGGGGGAGCCTCCAATCCCATTACTATAAAGGGGAACCATTCTGGTGCAGCTTTGCCTACACTTGCCCCTACCCTACCACTCTCTCCTGAAAGTTTCAGAGTAGTAGCAGCAGTGGCATTACCAGGCTCATCAACACTTTTCAAACACTATGACTTCTCAAGAATTAATACCACACATTAACAGGTATCCATGGTGATACAGATCCTCTACCCACACCTGCAAAATACATTTTCCTCTCTGATTCTTATGGTGATCCCAAGACAAAATAAATTTCATGTGTCACATTAGCTACTCTTCATTCTTTAGGATCATTCCTTCTCTGGAGTGATTCATCCCAATTTTACGTGTACATTTTTTATTTTCTCACCACTTCAGTTTATTATTATAGCTATTTTCATTTCTGTAACAAGGCAACTTAAGAATTCTGAAGTAAGATTGCCTAACTTCAAATCCCAGCTTATTAATACCCTTCAGTAGTAGCTGTATGATATCAGTCAAATTACTTTACTTCTCAGAGCTTTACTTTGTCTATCATATGTAAATACTTTACAAAGTTGATGTGAAGATTAAAGGTGCTAATATGCATAAACCACAAAACAAGGAACCCTCAATACTATTAGACTCTTTTATATCACAGTATTATTTACTGACTTAGTGCTTGGAATTAATTATATTTGCTTCAAATAAACACAACATAGAACAACCATTTATTTTAATGACAGTAAAAAAAAAAAAAAACATGACTTGCCTGCTACTACCATCTATTTGAGATTTAAGGTCTTTATGAAATGAAATATAATGAATATAGAAGAGCTTCTGCATTAAAAAAAAGTTGCTAAATTGTAACACTAACATTTTGAAAAGCAAACCAAAAACAGATTAACAAAGCAAAAACTTAAATTCTAGGAAAGGTTACTCTCTAGTGGTTCATAAAACTGTGATAGTACAGTCAATGTCAATTCAAAAGTAATGAACTAAAAGTCAGTATGTAAATTGTGTCTTCTTGGCAGATTCGAAATGCTTTTCTAATATTTAGGATTCAGTTCATCTAAAAATATATTATACCCTAAACAGGGACTTCAGATCTATGTGAATGTATACAACTTTTTAAACAATTCAAAGACCTCAAATCAAAAATTTCTTGCAAACCATCGTTATGTGCCAAAAATCATATAGAGAGGATACTGGCCTAAGAATTTTTTTTAAAAGTTATCAAATTATCTTTCTAACCCAGGTAATATTTTTTGTCACTCTTTTTGCCATTATTTCCAATGCTTTCTTTTCTTCTTAAAAGAGGCTCCCAGTTTTGGAGGAAAATGTGTAGTAATAACTTAGTAACTATAAAATACTGATATTTCTTCATGAAGATAATTGAATCTTCAACATAAAAAAAAAAAAAAAAAAAAAAAGCCTGTTCACTTTGTTAAACAACTCTGGAATGAAAGTAACCTCTGCTCATTTCTAATGAAATGTAACCTTTGTAACCATCCAAACTGTTCAGTAATGTTAGCATATTTTAGTATGAGCAGAGGAAGGTACTCATAGCTTAAGATTATTTGTCTGTAATAATGACATTTATATTAAATTCTAAGATAAGGGAAATAAGCAAATATTTATGATTGCCTTAAAAGCTTTCAATTATCAAAATTATTCAAAGAACAAAAAAGTAGTAAAGGTATAAGCACTTACTCTGTATATAAATCTTCTATCATTGCAACAATAATAACAATGAGAGATACAGCAAATATTTGACATCCAGAACCAATGAGAGAGGAAAATATTAGCGGGTGACTTGATGGTCTAAATACATCTCCATGCACCTGCTTCCATCCATATTCATCTCCTAGGTCTCTATCCTATGTACAAATACATATGTACAGAAAGAACAAAACAATTCAGAATCAAATTAAAACATGGTAGACAGGTTAAAAAAAATAGTTATTAAGTTCCCTCCCTCCAAACTTACAGCTTTTTAAAGGGGTTCAAAACACTGAGAAAAAGACATTTCAAATTTAAAACAGTCACTTATAATGTAGAAGTGAAGAGATTCAGGAAGGAAACGCCTGATTGTGTTCAGAAAATCTCAACAGGAAAAGAAAGAGGGAGCAAAAAGAAATGCAAAAAGAAATCGGGAGAACAGGGAACTGACTCTCTTACCGTTACTTTTACACCCTTACTTTCATGACTGGCTCATAAGTAACCAGGATAGACAACAAAAGAGAATGTACATTTGAATAGAGCTTGTTGTAAAAATGAAGAAACATCCTTTATAGCCTACAATCTAAGAACTGTAGAATTCTGTAAGAATTATGGGGAAAATGTCAGATATGGGTATGTTTATTTAAATGTTTATAACAGTTTTTAAAAAGAATTGAATTTTACTTTTCATCCTGAGTAAGCAAGTGTTTTTCTTAAATAATTTCTAAAATAATGTTTCTTACGGAATGGCAATCCCTCAAGGTAATAGGTTTTGGGGTGAAGATAATGTTTTGAGAAAGGACCAAATATTTTATCTAACCTCTGACACTTCACAATGTAGCTGGGCATATTAAAATTTAAATTTTTAAACTGGTTCCCAAATTTGTTCAAAGATAAGGTGTACCTATGTAGAATAGCCATTAATATTCTATGGAATACAGTTTTTGTTCTACAATTTACTAAAAGCATATAGAAAACAAATATGAACCCACTAAGTTAACCCACGAAATCAAATATAATATTTCCATCCATTACCTGAATTTTATGCAATATTTAACAGTATTAGAGAGAGATAATACAGGTCTACAACTTCCCAGTGCACTTCTGAAATCAAATGCTCTCGAAACTAAAATTTATTTACTTAGTCTGATATGTCCTAATTTTGTGACATCAAACAAGAGGTTATTTATACTGCTTATTTATCTCACTTACACTTATCTGTTTTGTGGAAAAAACATTCAGTTATTTGATTATTGGGCATAGTCCTGAATCCCACTTGGAATTTGACACTTCTCTAAAACCTAAAAAGTCTGAATTTTGAAAACTCCTCTGGCTTCAGAACTTCAGGTAAGAAACTGTGACCATTTCAAAATTCAAAATAACACTGAGATAAATGGGTTTTATAAATATAATGTAAACTGTTTGCTTACCATGTCATCCATTTCTTCTTCTTTACTGTACCGGGCATAATCTTTTCTTAATGTTCTCATTAAAATCATTGAAACTAAGCCTACCAAGAAGATCACCATCATGAAGGAGTTGAAGATTGAAAACCAATGAATCTAGAATAACAGAAGACAAAATGTCACCAACATGAGAGAGACACAAGATCCACAAGTTTCAAGATGTTAACAAAAAAGTCATAAAATCTCTTACATAAAAAGCCAAACACATAGGGGCTGAGTATTTACTATGCCAAGGGATTGGCTTTCTTTAAAGTAAGCTTCCATATATTGAAAACATGCTATCATCTATACAGATTTTCACAATTTTATTGTACCAATAAAGGGCAATTTGGCCACATGGCATATTCAGCATTGCACAGAAAGAACATGGGCTTTCCTGTCAAATAGGCCTAGGTTTTAACCCAAGTTCTGCCAATTTCTGGCTATGTGGCCTCAGTTTTCTTATCTGAAAAAAAATGGAGGAAATAACACTTATTTCTTGACTGATTTGTAAGGTTTAATAACATATATTAAAAATAATGGCACTAAGTCTGGCAAAGTAGGTACTCAACAAATGTTAGCTCTCTTCCCCACAACTGAGCAACAACCTGAAAAGCTCCTTAAAACACAAAAGTCCACTATCACACTTTGCTGTCATGGACTCAGGTCACCTTCTTAAATGAACTTCTACACAGATTCAGCAGTCAATTTTCTGTCCACTCTCCTTGACCTCTCCACCATTTCTAACCTCTCTGACACTCTCCCATCCCATATCTCCTCTTTCATCTTCCACATTGCTTCTCCTACCCCTGTGTGAACTTTTCCAAGTGCTCCAGTTTGGGGTACTGTACTATAACTTCTTGGGCTTTCAGAACCTTTAACTAGCATTCCAGTGAAGCTGTTGACACACCCCTTGCCCCRCCCTGCTCCAAGTTTCCAGCCTTGATTCTCACTCATGATTCAGACTTTCAATAAACACCATGATTTCCACTTGAATGTCTTGCTGAACTTTCAGATTCAGATTACCTTAAACTCATAATCTTCCTTCACATATAATCACTTCTGATTCTTTTAACTTCTGCTAATGGTGCTAATATATTGCTTGGAAAATTCAGAGCTATCTCTGGCTTTTCCTTCTCAATCTTTCACAGGTAATAATTTTAAGTATTTTGTAAGATTGGTGGTATGCTTTGGGGTTTTTCTTTTTTGATCTCTCTCCTTCTTTCCAATGTATCCTATAAAAAGTTACCGAACAAATCTTTTTTGAAACTTCATGTTCATATATCATTCCTTTATTCTAAAATTTAAGAGCATCATATTCTCTTTCTTTCATACCAAACCTAAAATATTTTCCTAATATTCTACATTCTCTGTAATATGGCCACCCCATATTCCATAGTCACCTTTCTATTACATCCTAGACTTCAAATAGGCCCACCCTTGCTCAATGACCCACAAGTACAGCATACTCAATTCCACTTTTGTTTTTGTTTTTTTCTTAATTTCTTCTCACATGGGATCTGCTTCTATTTTCCTTTGTAAATTCTACCTAGTCTTTAAATTCCAACTCAAGCAGTATCCTCTCATATATAGAACTTTCCAACTTCCATGTTACAATTTTCCTTAGAAATCCTCCTGCTCTAAATTTCTACAGGTAAATCCAGAGAAAACTTAACATACAGATGTACTGTCTTATACGATTAGGAAAATTTTAACTTTGGCTAATGTGCTAAGGATTTACACTAAGGTGAAGGGCAGTACTGGCTGTTACCCACCTTGACATTTCAGGGAGAGGACACACTATGGCTTTTCCTGAAAAGCAAGAGACAGCCAACTGTTCTGCCTCTGCATAAGATCATTCCTTCCTTCATTCAACAGCTTACTTACTGAGTACTTACTAAAATCATAAAGGAAACAATGATCCCATTATATTTTGAAATTTTGTCTCCAAAAGACTATATTAAAAGTTTAAATTTATTATAAATGTGTTGCTTAAGATTTATAAAAGCAGTCTGTGACAGACTTTTCCAAAGATTTGATTTTATTCCCACTTATAAGAAATTAATAAGCCAGAAAAGGTCAAGAGAAAAGAAATTTTATACAGATATATTTGGATGGAACTAGGATCATTAGGTTAAGTGAATAAGCTAGTCACAGACAAACAAGTATCACAGGACCTCATTCATATGTGGAATGTAAAAAGGTTGATCTTGTAGAAGTTGAGAGTTGAATGGTGGCCACCAGAAGGTGAGGAGAGAAGGAAGGGGAAACAGTGAGCAATGAATGCCCAGTTACTGATGTGCCATGGCAGAGTGGTGACTAAAGATAACAATAATATACATTTCAAAAAACTAGAACAAAGAATTTTTAATGATTTCACCATGAAGAAATGATAATGAGGACAGAGGTTTGACCTAATTTAAATATTACACAATGTTTACATGTATAAAATATAATATGGCACCCATAAATATATATAATTTTATGTTTTTATGTATCAGTTTAAAAAATTTAAATTTAAGGGCTGGGGATATAGCTCAGTTGGTAGAGTACTTGCCTAGTATGCATAAGGCCCTGGGTTCAATCCCCAGCACCACACACACATACACACACACACACACACACACATACAAATTTGGATTAAACAACAAAAAAAAAAAATCAAAATTTCTAACAAGATTTTCTGCTATTTTCTAATCTAAGACATATACAACTTATGATATAAACTTTAAACTTATACCTGTTATAATGTACTACCAATAACTTGATATTTATAATATTTCTTCCAAAATTATGAAATATGGTTTGATTTTTAAATTTTCATACCAGGGGAAAAATTTCTTAAAAATAATAAAAATTGGGCTGGGGATGTGGCTCAAGCGGTAGCGCACTCGCCTGGCATGCGTGTGGCCCGGGTTAGATCCTCAGCACCACATACAAAGATGTTGTGTACGCCAAAAACTAAAAGATAAATATTAAAAAAAATTAAAAAAAAACTCTCTCTAAAAAAAAAATTGAAAATAATAATAAAAATTCTGGTATCACAAAGAGGTTACTGACCCTACTTACTACTGCTCTCCAGCACCCCCTAGTGTTGCTAAACCTAAAGCCATACAAATTTGTGACGAAAATTTGGCTGGAAATAACAATGAACCTCACACTGCATCCGCTGCATGCCAAACACCAAATGAATGTTTTAGAAACATTTAAAGGGAAACTGCCCAGCAACCTTGCAAGATATTATAATCCCTGCTCCACACCTTCAGGAAAAAGGATCTCAAGAACGGAGTCATTTAACTAAGGTTACGGGGATACCAGAGCCACTGCCGGATTCGGCTCTAGCGTCTATGTCAGTGCTTTTACTCAATGAGTTAGACACAAACTCTATACAAGCACTACACAGCAGATCCCATCCCCTCCCACTAACTTTTAGAAAACATTGTAGTAATTCTTCTCTCCGCTGACCCTCTCTCCACTTATTCCTTAAAATATAGATCTAGGGCTGGTGTTGTAGCTCAGTGCAAGGCACGGGGTTCGATCCTCAGCACCACATAAAAAAATAAAGTTATTGTGTGTCCACCTTAAAAAGAAGTATAGTCTGTGGGTAGTTTTAACTCTTACAGGCAAACTGTGTGTGTGTGTGTGTGTGTGTGTGTGTGTGTGTGTGTGTATAAAACAGGGCATTGGCACAGGCCTATACTTCCAGCTACTTTTTGAGACAGGAAAATTTCAAGCCCAGCCTCAGCAACTTAGTGAGACCTTCCCTCAATATAAATTTTAAAAATGACTGGGGAAATAGAGTGCTTAGCATGGATGAGATTCTGGGTTTAATCTCCAGCACCGGGGGTTGGGGGGAAGTAACTTGGCTCCATCTTCTCTACTGGTTACTGTGCCATTTCTTTGCTCCCTGTAACAGGTAAACTGCCCACTGACTATATTTGCTATTTCAGTTCATCTCCTCCCATTTGCTTTTAGAATAGTTCCGTTCATATTTTGCCCCATCACTATACCAAAAACCACTCCTTTTCAAGTTCACCAGTAACTCTAAATGAATCCAATGGTCTATCAAGTTTGGGTCTGGAATATCCTGTAAAGGTCCGCGTAAATTAAAGGCTTGGTCCCCAGCTTGGCTTGGAGATGGTGGAAACTGAGAGATATGGCCTCATGGGAGGTCTTAGGTCACTGGGGGCATACCCTCAAAGGGAATCGTGTTACTGGAGCTCCTTCTTCTCTCTCTCTCTCTCAATTCTGGGCCATGGGGTGATRAGCATTTTGCTGCACTACATGCTCCCCACTGTGATGTGCTGCTTTGCCATGGGGTTCAAGCAACAAAGCCAACCATAGACTAAATGCTGAAATGGTGAGCCAAAATATATCTTTTCTTTTGATAAATTGAAAATCTCCAATATTTTGTTACAGTGAAAGAAAGCTGACAAAGGTATCTTGTATGWCCCATCAGCTACAACTTAGAATTAATCTCTCTGTCCCCCATGACATACTTTCTTCCCTTGGCTTCCACAATACATTCTTATTTTTTCCCCTCAAAGCCCTTAGATCCTCCCATTCTCCCTAAACTCTAAGATGATAATAAGACAAGGGCTCAGTTCTTTTGTCACTCCCCTGCTGAAAACTACAATGTTACCCTACCCTTTGCCTTTAAGAGTAAAATTCAAACTCCTAGATCATCCATGGATGATCTAGACCCTGTTATCTCCCTAATTTCATTTTCTTGCTTATTCTTCAAATCAACAAGCATGTTCCCACATTTACAGGTGTTTCAATGGTGTTGCTATACCTAGAACACCTTTCCTTCAGATATCTACATTGTTTCCTTCAACTCCTTCAAGATTTTGATCACAAGTCTCTCTCAAAGGTTTACCCTGACTGCCATATTTAAAATTGCAACTCACCTTGCCTGTGACACTCTTGCTCAGCAGCCCTCCTTTTTTTTTTTTTGCCCCCCAGTGGACTACAACCACAATATACATCTTACTTTTTATTTTCTAGAATAGAATGTAAGCTCTTTGCTTTTGTTTTTTAGTGTCCTATTTATCTAGGATATTTTGTGGCACACAGCAGATGCTCGATTAACATATGTTGAAAAAATAAACAAGCTATACTGCTCTGCAGTTAAAAAAAAATGCTAGAAGGCAATCTTTCCCCAAGTCATTAATATCCAATGGGAAACAAGGCAGACTTATGAGTTACAGCAGGGAGTGCTAGTCAACAGCTCTCATATTCTTAAATGTTATTAAACCTTGAAGTATTCTGTGGCCACACCTGTAACTAGACTCCCATGTTTAGGACTGCCTGAACATTATACCTCAGAACACAAGGTGGGAAGGGGAAGAAGTAGTGTAGCTCCAGGGGCAGTGTGCCAAATCCCTCAGTGAGGTCTAAATCCCCCCCAAAGCTTTTTTTTTTTTCTTTTTTCTTTTTTTCAAGTCCTAGGACCCCGAGGAAGAAGTAGTGATAGATTCTAATGTAGTCTAAGGGTGGAACCTAGCAGTGATGATATAAATCTGAGACCTCAAAAATTTATGGGCCATCTCAAAAAGAGGTGACTAATAAACTTCAAAATTCCAGTCCAAAAGATTAGATGAAAAGAATGAAAAGGCAAGTTAGGAAGAGACTCTAAGAATATATATATCCCCTCATGCTTTGTCATATTTTTATATCTATTCTTGTTAAAGAAAGAAGTCACAAAATAAAGTCTATTTTTTTGTTATAAAGAACCAAAACTACCTGAACAAAACCAGTATCAATGCCACCCACTGGTCTTATGAACCAAGACCTGGCTTTTATCTGCTAGTGGGGGGATGAGGAATGGGGGAAGCATTTCTTCCCATTCTTGGAATTTCTTTCTATGTGGAAGGGTTTCCACTAGAAAAAACTCCTGGCCTCATTCCATTTTCCAATCCAATCCTTTCCAAGAGGATCACTCATTCTGCTGTTTCTCCACACCATAAGTTGTACAGAAGCCTGCAACTGTACAGCACTGGCTGGGTTAAGTCTAATTTGGGATGCTAGGCAASTGCTCCATCACTAAGCTACATCCTAAGTTCATTTTATTTTATTTTGAAACAGGTTTAAGTTACCCAGACTGGCCTTGAACTTGTTGATCAGCCTCTCAAGTAGCTGGGATTACAGGCATGTGCCACCACATCCAGCAAGAGAGAGCTTTCAATTACTCCTCTAAAACTCCCTATCACCCTTATTACTCCAAGCACACATTTGAAATCACCATTATCTAAATCTTGTAATCACAGCCTTGGCATAGTGCCCTACATAGGGTAAACACTCGATATTTGTGAAATTGATTTGTGTACACATACAATGTCTTAAAATTTACCTACCCTATGTTGAAAAAAGGACGGATCAAGATATTTGTCAAATCGATCTTCAAATTTTACATCTGACTTTTTCCATTTTACCTGAAAAAAAATTTTTTTTCATTTGAAAACCAAGACCAATTAAATACATTAAAATCTGATAACAAATTGAACAAAATTTAGAAATATTTTACACACTTAGTTAATTAAAATTACCTAGAGAAATGGTGGAAAGTTACTGACATTTAAAAAGTTGAAACAGTATCACAAAACTACACTTTTCTTCTCTGTGTATTAATAAATCTTAAAATTTTTCTTAACAAAGTCATTTCAGTTGTCAAGGACTATTTACTGATGTTGACTCACCTGATAAATGTGTTAAGAACTGAATAAATACAAGCCCATGTCACAAGTTTTTAAATCAATTAAAATAAGAATCTGTAGCTTGCAATTGTACAGCACTGGCTGGGTTAAGTCTAATTCACAGTTTCAGTAGTAAGAAGCCTCTTGACAATGACTATAAGCCACATTCTCCAATATTGGCATCAATAATAATAAAAGTGGCATTTTGTTTTCCCATGTACTGTAATCCTCTTTATTGATTTAAAAACAGAATGAAAAAGGGCTTTTTGTTCTGTTTTGATTTTGGGGGTGCTGGGGATTAAACACAGGCATTAATTCTTTTTTTTTCAATTTTTTTTTTTTAGTTACAGATGGACATAATACCTTTATTTTATTTGTTTATTTTCATGTGGTACCAGGGATCGAACCCAGTGCCTCACGTATGCTAGGTAAGCGCTCTACCACTGAGCCACAACCCCGGCCCCCCAATACAGTATCAATTCTATCTACATCAGTAAAATGGAAGGAAAAACAGCATAAATTACTGCAGTCTAAAAATGTAACCATGAAAATACATGGCTGGGTTAACTGACCTACCCAATTACAACAGTAAACTCTTCTAAGGCAAATGGTCCATAGGTCTTGCCAATGCATAATGCGTATCTAATACAAGAGACCTGAAATTCATCTTCTCCCTGCTTTTAGAAGGCTTACTCAAATACCATAAGTAAGTACAACTTTAATAATTTTCTGCTGCATCTAATGTTAATGTTTAAAACACAATCACAAACATTTCTTCCTACTTACAATTATTTTAATACTTACTGAATATGACATCTGTATTTTGGTATTGGGAACCAGTTTCACCTTTCCTTCACTAGTTARATTAACATCAACAATTCGATTTCCATTAAAACCTATTTCAAGCTTCTTGTAGGTCCAAAGGTAATAATCTTCTCCATTTTCATCTGCTTCACCAACAATACCTACAAAAGAAAAAACACTTTATACAAGGTAATACTACTTAGTATTTAAAACACCCCAGAAGCTAAAAGTTCATTACACTTTTTTAAATACAAAGAAGCAAATGCACTTCTTTTTTTTTTTTTTAAGAGAGAGTGAGAGAGGAGAGAGAGAGAGAGAGAATTTTTTTAATATTTATTTTTTTTTTTTTTTTTAGTTCTCGGCGGACACAACATCTTTGTTGGTATGTGGTGCTGAGGATCGAACCCGGGCCGCACGCATGCCAGGCGAGCGCGCTACCGCTGAGCCACATCTCCAGCCCACAAATGCACTTCTTAATAAACACACAATGGTCAGATCATGGTGAAAAACTGATAATAGCTCAGCATAACTGATCACTCATTTAATCCTCAAAGTTCAGGCTTTATCATTACCAGTCCCTTCATTGCAACAATTATCACCTTACGTGTGCATATTCCCTAACATTTCAAATTTTTAATAAAGTTCATAATACGTCACAATCTGTCAAGATTACCCAGCTTCTAGTGATAAAGGCAAAATTAAAACAAAGGTTTCCAGAGGCCCAATCCAGTACTTTCTTTAATAACCATCTCTGGAAAGATATGTTTGTATGTGCATGTGTATAAAATGTACCAAAACTTAAAATACCTCTCTTTATGCCTCAAGTATGAAAACTATCACTKGGTAAGTCATCAAATTAAAGGAATGTTATAGATAAATGACAATAAAGCAATAATTTAAAATGACCACTTGATCATAATTTGGGATATTAGATGGGGAAGTGCTAAACAATGTAAGGCAACAGGTGATAGCTGGAGACCCATCTTTTATGCCTCAAACTGCCAGTTATTTGTCCATGTTCTCCACCTAAGCCTACACACTTCCCAAGAGCCTTATGCTCTAGAAACTATTCCTTCGGCCTTCCCCCTATGTTTAAAGCATCCCATTCAAATATTAGGGGAAAATATGATTATTTCTTATTCAGGAATATTTGCTTATTAAACTGAAGTGAATCTAATTGATTGGTACAAATTCAAGGAATATAGTTGTTTTGTTTGGGGTTGTAGAAGATAATGAAATCCTTCTAACAATTAATTTCATTATAATTTATTTAACTATGTACTCTGGAAACCAGACTTGGGGATAAAGTCACAATTATACCCGATAAGCAGCTCTTCTCTAAAAAGCTTTTTAAAGATTCTGAAAAGTCAGACTGGATTTTTTTCCCCTGATGAGAATTTTCCATGGTTCAGACATTCAAGGATATATAAAAGCATCCCCCAAATATGGTGGACTCTGAAATTCCAGGGTTAAAAATTATTTGAGACAAGAAAGCACAGTTGTCACTGTTGCTAAAGAAGTCCACAGCAATGACTAGAAGGGAAAATATATCTCTTCTATCTATCCTAAGGATCTAAACAAGCAGACAAAAACCCATTAGCAATGGAAAAGAACAAGGGAGGAACCTGCTTTCTCACCAGAAATGAAGAAAGCCTAGCCTAACAGATTCTTCTGAACTACAGACTCAGAAATCTTGAGTGAATATTCAACACATCTTCCTGCTTCCCTTAGAGCAGATCGCATGTGTTACTGTAACACTAATTACCATCATTTATTTGAACTCTTTACTATACATACATAATTAACATGTGACACAGTGGTGATAATTCATGCAATTATCTCTTAAGATTAACTTTCTTACAAATTTTATCTTAGTACAATATTACATCTGATCTGATAATGCTTAGTCATTCATAATTTGCCATTCATGAACATAATAGTCTGCTAACAATTTTAAGAATTAGAAGAAATATTAATTATATATAAGAACAAAATGTCTGGGAACAAAAAAGAAAAATCACTAAAAGAAAAATGTGATCAAACATGTTGACTACAATAGCTGGCTATGCTTTTCATTTTAAATAATTTAATCAAGTCTAACATAAATGACTTTCAGATTATGCATAAGTTTGTAWTAACTATGCCATAGCTCTTCTCCATCAGTATGGACAAGCAAGAGCTTTTGGAAAATAACACAGCAAGCCATTCAAGAAACTATCATACCCAACAACCACACTTCCAAAGTACCACATAAGAGAAAGACAGAGTTAAATTCCAAAATTCTACTTAGCACCTCCTAACTATACTTAAAAGAACAAGTTAAAGTTAAGATTTTTTTAAAAATGCAAAAAAACACACCTGTAATCCCAGCATCTTAGAAGGCTTAGGGCAGGAGGATGGCTAGTTCAAAACTGCCTTAACAACTTAATATAATTCAGTGAAATTCTGTCTCTAAATAAAAAGGCTGGCATGTGGCTCAGAGGTTGAGCACCTGAGTTCAATCCCCATAACCAAAAAAAAAAAAGAGCAAAAGGATATTTCAGATTGTTCCAAGCACCTTTTGATCTTTTGATTCCTTGAATTTGAAAAGTTATACCGTATAAAATTTACACTCTGAAGGAGTTTCATGTAAGGTTTGGCAATATCAAAAATCCCTCAAGAAATGGGGAGCCATAAAATCAGTATAAAAATCATCTGGAGGAGTCATAAAATCAGTATAAAAATCGTCCTGTGGAATAGTAAAAACACATTTATATCATGATCTAGTTTGCAATCACCTTGATAGTCATTACATAACTCTTGCTTATTGTATAAATATTCCCAAACCTTAAATATAACATACAATACTTACCCCATATTGGTAAGTCATCTATGTACATCTGGTACCAGTAGTGATTTTTAATAGCATAAACAAAGGCATCTCTCTTTTCTTTATCTAAATCAATTTCACAGTAAGTGGCTGGCATCACATCATCTGCATAAAATAAAAATAGCCAATTAGCCCTGGTTTACAAAAATAGTTGCAGGGAAAATAATATATATATATTAAAAAAAAAMCCAACATTTCCTGAAGTTAAAATTTCTATTCATATTTGTTGAATCTTTGTGACAAATATATAGGGGTTCAGTATACTATTGTTTCCTTTGTATATCTTTATAAATTTTTTATGGGAAAAGTACTTTAATCATCTTTATAATCAAAGATTACCTCACTAATGGAAGAAATCCCTCATATAAAAAAAACTACAAGAACATTAACAAAGTAACCTTAAAATTAATATTGACTTAGAAAGCAAAAAAAAAGTTTAAGACACATAGGAAAGATTCCATTTAATAAATATGATATGAAATATCAACCACTCAAGAAACTGAGGCATCAGGATCCCAAATTCTGGGCCAGACTGAGCAACTTACTATGACTCGGTCTCAAAAAAACTTAAAAAAAAAAAGAAAAAAGCGGGGGATACTGCTCAGCGGGAATATCCCTGGGTTCAATCCCTAGTACATGGGTAGGGTGAAGGGAGGCAGAAAACAATGTCTAGCTGTAAGATAAGAGCTCTGAAATAAACATGCATTTTAACATTCTTTGATATACCAGAAGTCACAGATTCTATGATGAATCCCAGTGACTCTTCATAATTAGGAAGATTAAAAATCAAACCTCTATCCAGCAGGCATCTCTATTTATAAAATACCCAAAAAGTTACCCCCAAAAAGGAACCATTTCCACTCTTTTTTGTGTGCGTGGTGGGGATTGAACTCAGGGCCCTGTACATGCAAGGCAAGCACTCTACCAAATGACTGATTTCCACTCTTGACTGTTTGTAAAATACCGGATATATTTAGCATCTGAAATGCAGTTTTTCCAAAACATTAAATTTCTGAAATATCTATTAAAATTTCTTAAAGAAAAACTAGTTGAACCATGAACTGTATGACTGTCTATAACATTATTTCTATAAGAAATAGCAATCAGTTATAATTTAAGATGCTCCACAACATGTCTCCCCAACCCTCAAGAGAACAGCTTCTACTTATAGATCAGCTCAGAGTGGGTATTACCCTCAAAATAATGATAAACAATAAAGTCCCATGGAAGGAAGCAGGAAAATACTCCTTCCTTTGAAGTAGGAGAAGAAAATAACTTTATCTTCCAGCAATGACTCCCACACAGATTTTCTTTCTACCCAAACCCTTTCAGGGCAGCAAGGCATTTATGATTTGTATAATGGTAAAAAACTGAAGCTGAGCAGTGAAGAAAGGGAGAGTTAGGAAATGAGATTGCTATAAAGGATTCCTACAGCAGGAGCTAGGAGAACCATGGGCAAGACATTCCCAAATGAGATCTCCATGGAGTGTGATAACAAACTAAGGGCAGCAGGCAGCTGTAGCTACAGAGCGGACAGTCAGAAACAAAGAAGTCCAGGTTTGGAGGGCAACAAATGGCTGGAGACCTCATAGCTACCTCTGCAAAGCATGAAATATCTTGCTGTTATTACAAGACATTCATTGATAATGGTCTTTAACAATGTGGTAGTTTTCAAGTATGGAGTTCTAAGATACACAATATGACAATTACCTATGTAAAGCTTTTTAAATGTTCCTCACAGTCTGAATTCGACTTCAGCTCTGTCTGTTATCACCCTCTCTTCCTTACACTCTAACAGACTAACTCAACTACCTGCAGTTTCCACATACCTGGCATTCTCTTGGCCTCTGGATTTTTTTGGCTCCTGCTATTAACTCCATTTCAAAGTACATCTAAAAATCTTTCCCATCCCCTATCCTTTCCTCCAGGGCAGATACCCCAACATTTTCATTTTTCTGAAGTCCCATGGCTTCCTCTCCATACTTCCTTTAGGTACATAGGATGTACCATTCTTTACCCAAGACCAGCATCTTAATGCCTTATTAAAACACCATGAGAGGTTATGGCTCATGGTAGAGCACTGCCTCGCATGTATGCGAGACCCTGGGTTCGATCGACAGTACCATATAAAAATAAATAAAGGTATTGTGTCTGACTATAAGTAAAAATTTTTTAAAAAACACCATGAGGCCTGGAGAGTAATATCCATGACTGATTACATTCTTTTACCCCCAGCTATTCCTGCTTCAGTACCTTGCAAAGTAAGAACTACAAACAAAACATTCTAACAAATTTTAAGAATATAATTTGCCATTTATTTGGCAAATGAAATTTCTAAATATATTAGGCACAAATGCATATGAATGTGTATAAATTTATGTGTGGTTTTTTTTTGTGTGTGTGTGTGTAAAAAGTAAATGTCAATATAAACCAATGAAACTTCGGAGCAGTCTCTCACAGGATTGGCAAAGTGGTCTTACAGATTATCTTTCACTGGTGTAAAATCTAAATTAAATGTGGTAAAAGATAAAACCCATCATGGCAGGCTGTGAAAAGGGCACTGGTTAGTCATATTTTAACAAAATTCTTCTTCCTGGAATGTAGGCAAATACAAACACAAATAACTGAAGAGCCGGGTTGCCTAACCAAAACAGCACTTCTCTCAGGAGCAAGCTGCTCTGATGGCAACTAATGCAATGTGTATGAATATGCCAAATCATTATTCAGCATTCTATATAACCAGAAAAAAATCTGGAAAATCACCATAAATCAGTTTTAAATTACAATAATTTAAATTTATATTTTTCTCAGATAAAACACAAACCTATAAATTTTGAAGAAAATAAACTTGAAAATTTACCAATATAAATCCTTTACACAGGAAGGGGCAAAAAGCTCAAGTTGTAAAGTGGCAAACATTAACACTGATTTTTCAAACAGAAGGCAAGGTTAGGTAGCATCTAAAAACCAAGCCCCATCCATCCATCTATCAATTCCCAATAATACCCCTGACTAATACTGCACAGTGAAAGCTCTGAGAAAAGAATATGATAATTATTTATGAGCTCTTTAAGAATACGTCATGCCATCACACTTTGTTTAGTTTCTCTTTTGATAACATTACTAAACTAGAAAATCAGAAATACTCTACCTCAAATACAGCAGCACTTGGCAAAGTTTCAAGAAATCACTATAGTGAAATGAGCAGAAATGTGAGTTTTATTTTGAGCTCTGCTACTTATTAGCTATGTGAATAAAAGGAAGTCACTGAACCTCTGTAAACCTCAGTCCCCTCAACTGTGAAATAGAAAACATCTGTTCTAGCTCTTTCTCGGAGATGTTTTAAGAAATGATAGTACCAATGTTTTCTTCACAGTGTTCTTAAGTGTCCTTGGTCGCACATCCCTCTGAGAATCTGATGAAAGTAATATCTCCTTGTCCCCACAAAATGCACATTCACACAAACTAAGGGCATAATTTCAGAAGGCCCATGGACCCATGAAGTGAAAACTCCTGGTTGAACTCTTTATACCCAGAGTTTACCACAGAGCTAGAATGCAATTAAGAATTTGATAATTGTCAAAAGAATTAAAAGAAAACACAGACCGGACAAACTGGTATATTGACTACTGATTAACTGACCAACCTACAAGCATCATAAACTGCAATTTTTTTGGCTAGCTATTTGGTAAAATGTATCACATACTGCATTAAAAATGTATATAGCCTTTGGGTGTTTTATYTTGTTTTGTGTGTGTGTGTAATTAGTAATTCCACTTCTAAAAATTTATTCTAATAAAACACTCAGAGATGTTTTAAACTACTATGTGCAAGGATAAACAAGTGCTTTGTTATATCTAACAGGAAAAAAGAAGAGAAAAAAAAGGAAAGAAGGACGAATGAAAAGAATAACTGAAATATATCATAACAAGAGAATGAGGAAAAATTATAGTATCTAAGTATATATAGTATTCAGACATAATGTTACCACATTTATAAGAGTAATTAACAATGGAAGGATAAACTCAAAACGTTAAGATAGAAAAAGCAGGATAAAAACATATAACATTATATGAGTTAGAAGTGCTTAGAACACTATCTGGTAGGGCTGGAGATGTGGCTCAAGCGGTAGCGCGCTCGCCTGGCATGCGTGCGGCCCTGGTTCGATCCTCAGCACCACATACCAATAAAGATGTTGTGTCCGCCGAGAACTAAAAAATAAATATTAAAAAAAAAAATTCTCTCTCTCTCTCCTCTCTCACTCTCTCTTTAAAAAAATAAAAAAAAATAAAAGCAAACTCTTAAAAAAAAAAAAAAGAACACTATCTGGGGCACATAATAAGCACTATGTAAGAGTTTGTTAAATACACTTTCTAAAAAAAAAAAAAAAATCACACATTGGTAACATGAACTCAATTTTGACATATTTTAAAGCAATGCAGATGAATGGGAAGGAAACAGTAGAAGAATTACATATACCAAAACAGTTAATGTATCATTATGATAATTACAACCAAGTGACTTTAATTTTCTTCTTTATATTTTTCTGCAGTTCCTAAATTGTATAACTGAAACTTTATCATTGCTAAAATCACAAAGAAAAAAAATATGTGCACATTTGTTGGGGGGGCTACAAATCTGAAAAATATTGTTATCAATGATACAAATAAGAATTTATAAAAAGACCACAGGCAGTGGTGTATATTCACAATGGAATATTACTCAGCATTAAGAGAATAAAATTATGACAGTTGCAGGTAAATGGATGAAGCTGAAGAATATCATGCTAAGGAAAGTAAGCCAATCCCCCAAAACCAAAAGATGAATGTTCTCTCTGATAAGTGGATACTGATCCATAAGTGGGGGTAGGAGGGAGGAGCATGGGAAAAATGGAGAAACTGTGATTAGGCAAAGCAGGGGGAGGGGAAGGGGCATGTGAACAGGAAAGATGGTGGAATGAGATGGACATTACTCTAGGTACATGTATGCTACATCATGTACAACCAAAGAAATAAAAAGTTGTGCTACAATGGTGTACAATGAACCAAAATGCATTCTATTGTCATATACACCTAATACACAGCATCCCACCTGCATGTAGTCCCCCTTTATTTATAAATAAAGAAACCTAAAAATAAATGCAAAAAAATCTAAGCTGAAGAAAAGTCCTAAAATTATAAAGCAATTATATTAGTAATTTAAGTCTTAAAATAAAAATAAATAAATTAATTAAAAGGCCACAGTTAACAAATTTGCAGTTGACACAAGGTTTCAAAGAATCACTAATAAAAAATTGACAAGTTCCAGATTCAAATTATTTGGTTGGCTAAAACACTTTGGTTGACACTGATCCCTAGACAAAGGGAGGAGAAAGGTATCAGAACTCAAAAGACACTCAAGGCGGAGATACCACAGACCTTGAAAGGTGGGGAACAGATGTAAAGCTGACCACACAGGGGACTGCATACAGATACCCATGTGTATATGAAGAGGTAGGATGCTCAAGTCTCCGTCTCCACCCACCACCCACCAAACAACAAGATAAATACCCTCTATTCTCTGTGGTAGAACAGAGGCAGACCTTCCTCTAGAGAATTTCTAGAGGCTTTAAAAAATCCTACAGAAACAGGATTGAGCAGGAACAGTGGAAGTTATGAACTGAAAACAAAGTGAGGATGACCTTAGGTAAATCTTGCTGCTGAATTAGAGGGCCTGGCATGTCTTGCACCCCGAAGACCTCTTCTCTATCCTTTGGCAATCAATTCTATACCACCCAAGCAGATATCTGGGTGGAAATTCTGCATAGTAAGGATCAGAATAGCCAAGACAGAATCATTGAACTAGAAGTACATAAGGCTTTAAGCAATCTTTGATATTTTTCCCTATTTGCAGTACTCTCAACTTAGCAATTCACTTTAGATAAGAAGAAATACTGTAGAATAACTTCTTCCCTCTACAAAGTTAAGATATTCAAAGAAGAGAAAATTAAGGGAAGATCAACTAAAAACAGAAAGGAATCCTCTATAAATCACCTATTTAAGATGAGTGGTGAACAAGAATGTACTATCCCTACCCTGACAGAACCAACAGGCTAGCACAATAACTGACTGACAACAATTAACATTCTTCATTATACTATARGATTCTCAATAGAAGGGCTGTGCAGTGACTTCACCTGGTTAAGAATTATTATTCCAGCTGGACATGGTGGCACATGCCTGTAATCCCAGCAACTCAGGAGGCTGAGGAAAGAAGATCCCAAGTTCAAGGCCAGCCTCAGCAATTTAGCAAGGCCCTAAACAATGTAGCAAGACTCTCTAAAATTTAAAAAGGGGATAGAGATGTGGTTCAGTGGTTAAGTGCCCTTGGGTTCAACCCCCAGTATGCCCCCCCAAAATTTATTATTCCGGATCAATTAATAATTAAAATGAACCAATTATTGTAAGAAGTAGGTACAAACCACCCCGGTTCAAGACAATTTATTAAGCCCTTACTATTTCACCGGGTGTGGTGACACATGCTTGTAATCCCAGAGGCTCAGGTGGCTTGAGATAAGAGGAACACAAGTTCAAAGCCAGCTTCAGCAAAAGTGAGGTGCTAAGCAACTCACTGAGACCTTATCTCTAAATAAAATACAAAATAGGGCTGGGGATGTCTGCCCTTCTATAATTAATGTATTTTCTCTAAATGGTCTCAAGTATCTTGAGTTCAATCCCTGGTACCAAAAAAAAAATAGACCTTACTGTCTCTTAAACCGGGTATGATGGCTCACACCTGTAATTCTGGCAATTCAAGAAGCTGAAGCAGGAGGATTGAAAGGTCAAGACTAGCCTCGTCAATTTAGGGAGATTCTTAGCAAAGACCCTGTCTCAAAATAAAAAATAAATTAAAAAGAGTTGGGGATATATAGATCAGTGGTAAAGCAACTCTGGGTTCAATTCTCAGTATCATAAATAAAAAAATAAATAAAGCAAGCTTACTTTCTCTTAAATCGCTGGAGATGAGCGGTGAACAAGAATGCACTGTCCCTACCCTGGCAGAACCAACAGGCTAGCACAACAGCTTATAATCAAATCCTATTATCAATCAACTTTAATGTTTCATAATTACTGGCAAAATTAAGTTGGAACTACAGACCCATACTATATGCAATTAGTAATGATAGCAATTACCATCTCTACCAATTCCTGAACATAAAACTATATACCAGGCACTTTGTTAAATGAATTAGCTCACTTAAATGTAACAACAATTCTACCAAATAGATATAATTTCCCAAAAGAGCTAAATAATGTGCCTCCAACCACACAGGTGAGTAGAAGCAGAGCTGGGATGCACCAATCTCTCTGACCCTAAAGCACATGTTTTTTCTACTCTGTAATGGTAAGGTTCTAAAACATACCCTGTAAAATTAGAGGATAATAAATTCAGGCCTGGTTCAAAGATGCCTAATTTAAGTCTGCCCTTCTATAATTAATGGATTTTCTCTAAATGGTCTCAATTAGCATTTTTGTCTAGAACTAACATATAAGAAAAAAAGCTGTAAAATTTTGAGAGGCATCCTACATTAGACCTAGACTATCATTAGTTCCTTAAAATAGTCTCTCTAGTGACCTTCATTTTACAAAATGATACCAATCCATCTAGCCTGACAAAATCTGCTAGACTAAAAAAAAGTGTGTGTGTTTGTGTGTGCGCGCGCGCGTGTGCACCCGCGCACGCATGTGGGGCATACATATGCATATATGCATGTGTGCATATGGCTTATTCTAGTTTCAAAATATTTCCAAAATTTTATTATATCTGAATATGCCTTCTTAAGAATCTTCAAATATCAAATATTTAAGGGATGAAAAATTAACAATATAAATATTTCTGTATTTCATTCAGAGATAGGATGTTCTAGTTTCTGTTACATTATTAGTATATATGATATACCCCAAGAAAATCCCTTCATCCCTGGGCTTCTGTGAGAGGGAACTGGCTGATACAATCTCCAAGGGTCATCATTACATTAAAATTTTTTGATACTATAAGTAACAACCAGAATCATTTCAAAGCATGATCAATTTTGTCCTTGAACAGAGAAGACAAAATTTACAGGAGAGGGGAAAGAGAAATCTAATCAATATTTACTATTTCATCTAGACCACTTGACTCACTGCAGAGCGGACAAGATTCCAAGGAACAGGGAACAATCAGGGAACAACACCTGGCTAGCTCTTCTTTCAGTCTAAAGGTGCTTAGCTTAATCTGAAAAGAAAATAAATTCCACTTTTCTAGACCATGAGGGCTATCTGCCTCTATTTAAACAATCTCTCCATCTCAGTCTCAAGGAACTAATAAAGAAGAAAGGTTAAGACTGCTGAATCGACAGTACTCTTCAATTCAAGTATAGGCAAGAATTTTTTTTTTAATTGATGAAATCATATTAGCAAAGTAGGATTCTAGGATTCCGCCTATTCTCTCTTGCTGGTACCTTTCTAACAAACTAGAAATGTCTATCAAATATGAAAAATGAAAAAAGAGATAAATATAGTATTCAGGTTTTCAAAGATTACATATTCTAGCTTGAATTTCCTCCTAATTTGTGATTAAATATTTAAATTACCTAAATTAAAATACAAGCCATGGGGCATGTTTATAATAATTCACAAAAAATTATAGGCCACACTACTATGGCTTAAATTTAGAACTTAAATTGAGGCTCAGTAGAGTGCTTGCCTTGCATGCACAAGACCCTGGGGTCGACCCCCAGCACCAAAAAAAAAAAAAAAAAAAACTTTATTAAAATCAATATAGTAAAATAAATGGAATTAAAATTCAAAGTTCCTGATTACAAAACCCATACCCTATTCAAAAAAGCAAGACACCCAATTAAAGATCCTGCAAATATTCAATTACTCAAGCTTTAGTTCAGAACACAAAAATTGCCTATGCAGGAAATATACTCTGACAAACTTCACAGAGAAAAACAAAGTATAAACACACTCAAAGGACCAAATAAACAGGTAACTACAATAATAAACAGCTAAGGATGACTTTTTTTTTTTTTTACCAAGTATAACAAATCTTTTGACTCATAATTTAAATATCCTTTAGGTGTTGAGAAGGTAAATTAATACAACACTGATAAATACACAATAAGTCAATAAGTCAATGGTACAAGTCTGAATTTAAGAATTTACATAAAATTATTTAAGTAACCACATATCCCATTACAGTCTCATACCTCCAGAAATTACTTTATTATGAATCTATGAAGGCCTTCCCCACCCACATGTCTAATCACTAGAGGGTTTACTAGAAAAATTTTTCAGAAAAAGTCAGGAAAACATAATTTTTATTACTAATTTATTCTGCTAAGCATCCTACAATGTACATGATAGTTCTACACAAAATTATCTGGCCCCAATGTCAATAGGTCCAAAGTTAAGAAGTTCTGGTCTATAGTCTAACTCATATCATAGGGACTACTAAGGTTTACTTACCTTTAAATTTAATATCCAGACCACTAAATTCCAATTCAACTCCTTGAAGTGCTTCTCCCAGAGTTTCATGGTAATGACTGATACTTTTTTTTGACCCCACACAGAACGGAAGTGAAAAGTACTTATATGTTTCTTGGCGATTATGGTAGGGCCCAACAGTATTCATCCATAAGACAACTTCTTCTTTATCTTGATACTGAAACAAGAAAAGCAAATTTTATATATATATTTACATGTATGTATGTGTATATGTATATATTTAAATCTAATTCAAATTAAGGGTATATCTGTTATCTGTTCCAAATAAAAGTATACTTTTGGTGTTCAGGAAACTAGAATACTGGAAGCTTATTTCAATCTCATAATCAATGTCCACACTTAAATATCAAAAATATACCCTATTGGGCTGGGGCTATAGCTCAGTATTTGAGCACTTGCCTAGCATGGGTGGGGCACTGGGTTCAATCCTCAGTCCCACATAAAAATAAATAAACAAAATAAAGGTATTGTGTCCGTCTACAAAAAAAAAAAAAAAAAGCTCTCATTGTGGTCTCAGGATCCACCTTTTCCAAACTTCGTTTTACAGAAGATAGTTTTAAATGAAGTCCAATAGCTCAGAAGAGTATGTTTATAATTACTATTTATACTATTAAAGAACAGTAAACACTGAACCAATATAATTCACCAGGTTAACATGGACAAGGGAGGAGGAACCAAAACCAACAGTTTATCCAGAACCTTATGCTCATCATCATATACCCCCCAAAAACTAAAGTTGCCAGCGCACATAGATAAAACCTCCTCTCCCTTCTAGTCTTTCACACAACCACTAGTCAAAGCATTAAAAGGAGAAAAATAACTAAAAGGAAGAAAAGCCATACTATGAAACCCCAAGTCCATTCAAGTCATCATGCCATCTGTTATCAGCCTGAAAAACATATGCATATTTCTTTGAATAATTATGGTTTTACCCATCAGTGAATACTACATATAGCTGGCACAAACCTATAATCCCAGCTACTAAGGAGCCTGAGACAGGATGTCTCAGGTTTGAGAGAAAACTTAAATTGTCTCAAAATAAAACAACAAAAAAAAGGGCTGGGTATGTATGTAATGCAGTGATAGAGTACCCCTGGGTTCAATTCCCAATACCAAAGGAAAAAACTACTGCTAAATAGAGATAGCAGTTCAAAGATCTGGGGTAGCTGACTTCACCTTCCCAGGTTCTGTGGGGTCTGCCCAAGATTTATAAGATGCTTACAAGTTTAAAATCCTAATGTTATGTGTTTTAGATATGAGGTGTTCCCAAAAGCTCATGTGTGAACAATGCAAGAATGCCCAGAGGTAAAATGATTAGATTATGAGTTGTGACCTAATCCGTGGGTTAATCCATGGATATGGATAAACTGAGTGGTAACTGTAAGCAGGTATGGTGTGGTGGTAAGTCTGAGTTTGTATTTTGTCCCTGGTAAGTGGAGTGCATGCAAGTGTGCTTGCTATAGCTGGCTCTCTCTCTCTCCCTCCCTCCCTCCCTCCCTCCCACCACCCTTCCCTCCCTCTCCTTCTCTCTCCCTCCTTCTCCCTGCCTCCCTCCTCCTCCCTCCCCTCCCCCCCTGCTTCCTGCTTGCCATATCATGAACTACTTTCCTCTATCACACTTTTTCACTACGATGTTTTGCCTTACCTTGGTCCCAGAGCTATGGATTCCACTGTCTATACAGACTGAGACCTCTAAACTGTGAGCAGTGAAAAACTTTTCCTCCTCTACATTATTCTTGTCTGGTATTTTAATCATAGCAACAAAAAGTTGACTAAAACATGATTCTGTGAAAACAGATTACCAGGGTAATTTCAAAACCAGTACTTGTAATTAGAAATATTAACTGACAATATTATAATTTAAGTTAATAGTGCATTAGTTGTCCACTGAACAATTATTTACTGAGTGCCCAGCACGTGCCAACAACTGTGTCTATAACCGAGGGTTTACCTTTGAATGTGTTCCTTGCTCTACTGATGTCTAAAGGGAAAGACAGACATTGAACAAGCAATTATAATAAGGAAGGCTGCTATGGAGCATGCAATAAAGAAAGCTACCCAATGAGTCCACTATGAAACCTTTATCTCCTGTCTTCCTAAATTCATCCTACCTGAATCTACTCTCCTCAACTTATTTTCCTACTGGTACTATCATTCTCTAAGACTAGGACACTCAAACCTCAAGATCTTCTGCATTCCAGAAAAAAAACATTAACTTGCCTACTCTTACCCAAGGCATTTGCCTCCTCATTTTGATTCACATCATCACTACCACCCTAAGACTCCAATTTCATCATCTCCAAACATAATAAATGTGTCACTGTTCATGTAAGACATCATCCAGGTCATCAAGGAAAGAGCAAACAGTCTCACTTTTCAAACATGTGAAATATGGACCAAGCAAGTTTTAGGCATTAAGGATATAAAAGTAGAGCTAGGGATATAGCTCAGCTGGAGAGTGCTTGTCTCACATGCACTAGGCCATGGGTTCAATCCCCAGCACACCACACACACACACACACACACACACACACACACACACAAAAAGGATATAAAAGTAAATATTCTCCTTTCCCTTAAGAAGTTCATAATCCACTGTGGAGCCAAAAAAGCAAATGATTAACATTGGAGCAATAAGTGTTATAATTAAGGTAATAAAGAACTACTGTAGCAATGATTAATTCTGCTTTGGCAGAGAAGGGTCAAAATGGGTAACAATATAGAAAAATAAATAGCTTCAAGTGAGTACAAAAAAGTGTATATAATCTTCATGCGTAAAGTAAGGAATCAAAGATGTGAATGTTAATATATTCATACACCCCCATTCTTCATTCTTCTTTTAATTTTGTGAGGATTGATAATATATGTCTCCACTTTTCCAACCAATGCTCATGATCTTTGAGCACTTATCAGTCCAAGTACTCCTTTCTGCTAAATATATATACAGCCTCAGAATTCTTCTCAAAACCATGCTCTAAGCCAGCCACTACTAACTAACCGGAGCTGATATTAGAAATAAAATCTGTTCAACAACACAAAATGCTCTCCCCGCACAGTACAATGTACATAAGTATTTAATAAATAAAATGGGAAAATTTTGAAGAAATACTAAAATGTAAAGTTTACTGGCAACTTAATAAAAGCTTGAAGCATATACACTGACTGGTAGGTGCACCAACAGTACTTTAGAGAAATGAGAAACAAGAAAAGTGTACTAGAGATTAGACATTGAATGAGAGTACCCATTAATGAGATCCTTGCCATTAATTCTCTGAATTTGTAGAAATATTATATAACTTGGAAAATAATACAAAGACACTTTTTCTGTAAATCGATGTACATGTTCCTTTAAAAAATAAAAAAAACTTTAAACAAATATTTCTTTAAAATATAGCATTCATTTATTTTATACAAACTGAGACACAGGATTAAAGTAATCTAAGGGCTGCAGGGTGTATTACACTACACATTCTTAAGTTACTCATTTTAAACACCAAAAAATCTTAATAGGCCGGTAGAGGTGTGATGACACAATGCAAGTATTATAACAAAACTTACACAGCCTTGTAGTCTAAGGATCTTTCTGGGAAAAGGACTGAAACAAATTCAGGGCCTAAGGGTAAATATTAAGGCAAAAATTATGCTTCTTTTCTATTTCTCCTTTTCACACAGACTACGGTCAAACACAATGAATTTAAACATTTACTTTTCATCTCAGATCTTGATTGTCCCTAAAAAATAAATGCTCCCAAGCCAAGGACAAGAGTTCTTTCTCCAGAGAGAAAATATGTTCTAAAATATCTTGAAGTTAGAAAATATAAAAAGGAAAACTTCACATAGCTTTTTAAGAAAAATTTTATTTTTTAAATTTTCTTTCCCTAAAGCTGTAGACAAAGTCCCTCAGCCCCCACAACCCTGATCACTAAATAGGGCTCCTTCCTGACCAACCTATTTCTTAGGAACCTATGGTAGAAAGGCTAATCTAATTCCTTTTCAAAATTCCAGGAAATCCTATCAAGCTCTTTTAAAATAATTTTCCTTGGAAAAACTTCAGACTTGCCAATGACACTGAGCAAGATGGAGTTTTATAACTTACCTGAAAAATGTAGCGGGGGGGGGGGGGGGGGGGGGGGGGGGGGGGGGGGGGGGGGGGAATGGCAAGTAAGCACAGCATGGATATGGAAACCTCTGAGCATGGATGGCAATAATTCCTGTCATCTAAGGCTTCAGGGGAAACTGGCCACATGAAAGCAGACCAGTTCAGGTACCTGCATTCTTCACCTACTCAGTTTCCAACCCCCAGAAGAATTTCACTGTTATACTCAATTTATGAACTGTCCACTCCAGCCAAAACAGTTACAACACTGTCTTCCTTTCCTTTTATGCTTCACCTTGTTTCTTTTGTAATTCCCCCAAATTTACAATGCCCTCTTTTCTTCGCTTGGTCAAATTCCACTTAATCTTCGGAACTGCTCAAGTCTTCCTTTCTCATATCCCCATGTGAAGCTATGCTGACCAATGCCTAACATAACATAACATGACCGCAATAGYTTGGGCAACAAAATCTCGTCAGCAACACTTCATAGGTTCATCTAATGTTGTAAGGTCTTTACATGAACATTTAATCTTCTCAAATTTCTGTAAGATAAGTCCTATTATTTCCCTCATTTTACAGACTAAAAACAAAAACAAAAAAAAAAATAGATGTTAAATAATTTGTCCAAGAATACATAACGAAGCAGTACCAAGTTTATCAGTTTAGGAATGCTTTTGCTAACTCCTAGTGAACTTCATTAATCAAAGGGCAAAAACAAAATCAAGGAAATATGAAAAAGTGTATGAAGCAAATAAAGATGACAATAAAGATGACACTGAATAGTGAACTGTTCCATTTGAGCTTTTAATCTGCCCTAAAGGGGGAAAAAATCTTAAGAATCTATTTGTGCCAGGCATGGTAGCTCATGCCTGTATTCCCAACAACTCAGGAGGCTAAGGCAGGAGGATCACAAGTTCAAAGCCGTCCTCAGCAACTTGGCACAGCCCTAAGCCACTCAGCAAAACCTGTCTCAAAATAAAAAATAAAAAGGGGTGGGGACATGGCTCAGTGGTAAAGCACCCTGGGTTGAATCTCTAGTACCTAAAGAGAGAGAATCTACTTATACTTTAGTAGACAATGTTGCTGACATACTCTTTGAAAAATACGAATTAGGAAATTAGAATTTATACTGACCAGCAAGATACAGAGAGCCAAGACTAACCACCCAAATACTATCTTCCATTTTCATGGGAAAGGGACATATTTACTTTAAATACGTATCAGAGAAAGCAAAATTCAGTTTTGAGAATACTTTAGAAGTCATAATTTCAAAGTTTTTCAACTATTTCAAATACACATCTGAATTCTAATACAATCAAATTAGAAGTATATTTTTGAATAGTCTCTTGAGATAAACTGTTCTCTCTCAAAATAATTTTGTACTTAAATAAACGTTTAGTCTATCGCTGACTGCCACTGAAAATAGGGGAATGATTATGGCATTTCCTAAAAACTAAACCTGCATTACAGCACTCACAAACTCACCTGTAGTAAATATTTTATTCCCTTTATAAATCTTCAAATAAGTTTCAAGAGGTCCTATACGCCCAACAAAGAAGAAAAGTTGCCAAAGTAAACAACTTTTTTCAAATCATGCAGTGGTACAACACAGTTTACAACAGAAGCCAAGCAAGCTATCCCAGGCACAGATGGGGTGCTTCCAACATTACATGTCCCAACATTACCAGAACAAGGGGCCACAACGAAATGGGATTTGGGCCTAGGTAGGGACACTTAAACCATAAGAGTCATACCCAAGATGATGTACTTTAAACTAACAATGGCCTGGGTTTGTTCACTGTGCCTTAAGCAACAGTTTCATGCTTCAAATATTGCAAATCCTTGTCCCTAGTAGCTCCCTAATTACTCAAGTCACACAGCAAAGCACTGTCAAATATTACTAGTTAAGGGAAGGGAGGGGGAATGGGAATAGGAAAGATAGTAAAAACGAATCGGACATTACTTTCCTATGTGTATGTAAGAATACACGACGGATGCGATTTCACATCATATACAACCAGAAGAATAGGAAGTTATATGTATAAAATGTCAAAATATATTCTACTGTCATGTGTATGTAATAAAAACAAATTTAAAAAACATTACTAGTTATGCAGAGCACAGTGCTTGGGATATCTAACAGACTGGAGCAGGGCAAGGGGGGGGTGACTTTGTGATCATGTAAATAAACTCATAAAAATGCAAGGCTAATCCAAAGCACTGAGAAATGACAACAAAAATCCAAAGCTACAATGCAAACCTCCAAGTACAAATGCTCTTAAGATTTCTTTACCCTGGATTATTGGTGTTTTAGTGTTGGCATATTTCCATATTGCTGTTATGGAAATCAGATATATAGACAGGTAGAAAAAGGAAAGCCTAGGGATCAGAAAGCCCAGAATCCCCAATTCTCTCTTGAGCCAGTCATTGGGGCTCTATAGGCAATTTGTAAAGTAAGTTTGGATGAAATGATTTCCAGTCTTTCCAGTTCTAAAATTCCGAGTTTCAATTTGAAATAGTTTTTAATAGAATCATTTGGAATCTTAGGATATGTTATCATTTAATTCCAGATGCTTCCTTGTGCTTCAACCAAGAGAGGAGTGTAATCAACCCTACACACCTACTTTTCACTTACTCTCAAGAGACCTTTTAATAACCCTTATAATCACTAATTAGGAGCCTTTTGATTTCAAAAAATATATCCTATAATCCATATATGATTCAACTTCTATTTATTTACTTATTTATGAAGAGCTAGGGATTGAGCCCAGGGCCTCACTCATGCTAAGCAAGTACTCTACCACTGACCTACCATACTCAGTTCTGATTCAAGAATTAAAATGAACATGTCTTTATATAGTCTAGATGTGTATATACAAGTATATACTTCATTTTCATCATTCTGAGAATATTACAAAAACTCTGGAAAAATAAGCACATAAAAAAATACTGTGAGTCCCATGATCAATTGAATCCTAATTCAGCAGGTACAGTAAGAAAGGCCAAAAAAAGCATTTTTTGGAACAGCAGGAAGTAGTTATCCGTTATGACCAACTACATAACTTGTAGAGCCCAGAACGAAACAAAAATGCAAAACTCTTTGTTCAAAGATAAGAATTTCAGCAGCATATTAAACAAGAACAGTCCAGCATGTGACTGCTCAGGTCATGCATCCACTGTGGCCCAGGAATTTAAGCCCTATCCCTCTTTAATGCTAACCCATTATAGAGCTAGACTCACCCAAATGTTTCCTTAAGCACTTAAACATACTATCAATATACAGAACTACTCAATTTAATACCAAGGATTTTATTGTTCAATTGTTAGGGCAAAGGGCTTTAAAGCATATCAGTTGAGAGTACCTACTATTAACTCAGAATGCCCAGGGTCAAATCCCACCTCTACTCCTACACTGGGTGTGGCCTCATGCAAGTGACCTAACTATGCTGGCCTCGGTTTCCTCATCTATAAAAAGGGCATAATATCATGCAATTCATAGTTATTAATGTAAGTTCAACATGAATTAATGTGGGTAAAGCACTTAAAAGAGAACCTAGCACATTTTGCTATAAAAATCATTAGTTTTATTTCTATCTCAAATAGTCTTCACTGAAAGTTAATCTAAAGGGCAAGCTCTATAGCTTCTGAAAGCTGTTCTTTAATTGATAATCCAATTCTACAGGTATTTATTAATAAACACACACTCAGCAACCTTCCCTTGGCAATTTGTCTCCTCCTTCCTCAGTACCATTCTCTCTTCACTAGCTACTTTCTGTCTTCTTGGTAGAAAGGAAAAAAAAAATGTTCACTTGATCATAGCCCTCTTCCAGTACTATAATCTGGATAAGGTGAATTCCTARTTTTCAAGAAATATTTTCATGAAACTTAGAAAAATATTTTGGCTAATAGCAAACATCAGGAATAAAATGACATTTATTTGAAATTTATGTTTGTATCTTAATGCTATTSTTCATATAACTCTTGCCTTCGTATGTAATAATGGGTAATCAAGTAAGAGTAATGTAAACATAAAATGACATGGATTCTAAATTTTTGTACAATAACTATTTCATAAATACCATATTCTCTTTAGGGCAGAAAACAAAAACTTTTCCACAAGTATTTTGTATTTACTAATAAAAACATAAAAGACAATTTAGCAATAAAATTTCATTGAAACTGGCATCTACTTCTTAAATTTGTAAAGTATTCTAAAGCCTTTATACTCCCCTAACTTATATTTTGTGTGTGTGTGTGTGTGTGTGTGTGTGTGTTGCTGGGGATTGAACCCAGGGCTTTGTGCATGCAAGGCAAGCACTCTACCAACTGAACTATATCCCCAGCCCCTATGGTTTCATTAATAGTTATACCAATTTACAGCCCTATGAAACAAGATTAAAAAGTAGAATTTCTTCCTCAAGTATTGAAAAGTAGACTACTACTCTCACGTTTGTATGTGTACGTGGTAGAACTATAGTTGAGTTCTGGGTTTTACATAATAACTTTTCTTATGTGTCAACAAAATTGGAAAAACCTTAAAATACCACTAACTAAAAGGATGCCCAGTGGAAAATAGAAAGCAATCAATGATCCCAAACTAATTTTGATAGACAAAATTATCTTAACGTGAAAAGCACGGGATACCACAAAAAATATGTCACCAATTAGGGACTTTTGTCTCTTAAAAAAAAAAAAAAAAATTCTACATATACAGGTAAGACGATTCTGGCTGTGCCTGAAGGTAAAGTAGCCAAATTTAGAGCCTTCTTTATCTAAAATAAGAGTCCAGCTAACTCAAAGACTTGAGAAAAATTTTGCTATTTTCAGATAAAACCTAAAACCGGGTCCATTAAATAGATACGAATTACTTCACTTCCTCATCTAACAGCAATGACAGAAAACTCCCCCAATTTTTAAAATTTAGTATGTACACAAACTCTCACGCAAAATCATAACTTAATGGGTAATGGTATAAAAACAATTTCTGACCAAGCAACCTTCTCCATTTACCTGAGTTTCCTGCCTTGCTCCCGTCCACCATTCTGAAAACCCTCAAGTTACAGTCCTAAGTGAAAGCCACTCCTAGAGTTGTTAACATCCATGCTTTAATGTGAAAATGCAATTAAACCGCCAATCAACTTTAGACCAAATGCAAGAGATTGTTCCGGGGCCAGGCCTTAGACTGGGAAACTTTATGATCAGAAGTGGCCCAAGTTGGAGACCACCGGGATGGAGCCGCTGCTGGGGACTTAAGAGGAGAAAGTTACAAGAAAGGCCTCACAATTGAGTGCGTACGGGGTGAGAGCATACACACGTGTAAACCGCTCTCACCTCGAGTTTATCAACGCTGTCCCCACCCCGGGGTTTTAATCCGGTTTGGGCAGGAGGAAGAGGGGGAAGAAAAAAAGAAGGCTGGAGAGAATCATAAGTGGTGGGTATTTCCTGTATGAGGGGTAACTGTGATGCATCCATCTTCTGCTATCGTCGTAGCTCCCCACAGCCGTAGAGCAGCCCCTTCCCCGGGGACACGACCCCCGAACACTCCGGCCTGCAGGCCTAGCTCCCGCAGGAAAGTGAACCTACAGACTCCCCAGGCTCCGTCGGGTCCTCCCGGGCCCCCAGACGTGGGGGCGCGGCGCCACCCAGGTCGGAGCGGTAATGGGAGGCCCAGACACTCGGGAGGGGAGCCCCGTCCCGGGAGCGCACGGAAATGCCTCCTCCCTGCTCCCGAGATTCCTGCTCAGCCAGGCCCGACCGGAAGGAGCTCTCGGGCGGCCGCCGGGCTGCACCGGGCCCCCCGACCCTCCAGGCCGCGCGGAGCCCGCTGGGGCGGCGGCCGAGGAAGCGGGTGGGGGTGACCGCGCCTTCCGGGGCGCCTCACCGTGTGTTCGTGCTCGTCCGCCCGGGCCCGGGGCAGCAGTAGCAGCAACAGCGCGGCGGCCGCCACCACGCCAGGAGCGCCCGGCAGCGGCCTCATCCTCCGCGCTCGCGCCGGCCCGGCGCCGGCCCACCGACTCCTCCGCCGCCGCCGCTTGTGCCGCGGCCGATTCGCATCCACGGGGCGCGGACAGACGCACGGGGCCCGGGCCCAGCCGCTGCCTCCGCCGTCGCCGTCACCGCCCGCTCCCGAGCCTCCTCCGCCCCCCGGCCTTAGCCTCTTCCTCTGACTCAGCCACGTCATCCGGCCACCCCGGCACACGCCGGAAGTGCCTCGCGACGCGGGCCCGCAACCGCCGCCGGGCCGCGCGCCGGCCCCGCCGGCAACAACTTGGAGCCCGGGAGCCGCGGGCACTTGCGCCGGCGCCGCTGGGCCTCGGCCCCGGCCCCTCGCGGTGGCCCGGCCAGGACCTCCCGGACGCGCCTCGGCACTAGGGCTTGTGTGACCTTGGCCCAAACGCGTAATTCTCCCTGGCAGTGAAACGGGACTGGTCGTCTGACCTGCGGCTCCTAGAGCTTGGAGAACCAGCTCAAATAACCCTTTCATTCCGGGCTCTCCTCTACCGCTTTGAATGAGTCACTGACTCCATAATCATCATAGGGCAGACTGTTAAACTTTTTCAGGATTGGAGATGTGTTTAAAAGTCATTGAATATTTATTGGACCTCTGCTATTCAATCAGTTGTGGGCTAGGCTGAAATTCCTGTTCATTTATTGTCCAATTATTTGTTGGTCTCCCAGCTTCAGTCATAAATGCCTCTGGGAACTTAAGCTTCTCAAAGCAGAGATCCTGTTACCTATTTTCTGTACCTAAACCCGGAGTAGGGACTCAAAAAGTACCTGTCAAGGGAACACAGGAATATGGCTCCGCCTTCTATCTACACTGTCCTCCGAGCTAAAAATGGGGAACTTGTAGTTGTCTCTTCTCAGCCGTCAGTAGTCAACAAATCATAGTATTTGGTGTCTTAAAAATATCTCTATAGTTTGTTTGCTCATTCCTCGGCCAGTAAACAGCTAATACTCCAAATCGCCATTCTTTGCAACAGTCTCTCAATAAGCTCCCCGCCACCAATCTTTTTCCTTCCCTGTTGATCATTCACCAAAGGTACCAGAGTGATCTTTCTAAAAGGAAGCCAGGTTATATCACTCTCTTGCTTAAAACACTACTTGAATATTGAATAAATTATGGAATCACCACTAAGGTTTTCATCTGCCAGGCATTATTCTGAACTCTTCACATATTGATTCGATCCTCAAAAAATCCTATGCAACAAGTACCTTTACTACGTTCACATTACAGAGGCATTAACAAGCACAAGCTTATTAAGTGGGCTTGCTGAAAGACCAGACTATGAAGTCTGATCCCATAATCAGTCTTTTTCTGCTAATGGATTATGAATTATACGCCATTTTAAAAAGTGAAATATTACCTGCCTGGACTGGCGTGGACTGGTATCTAACAGGTACTTACATCAAGAAAAAAATAGAGCATGATTTTATTTTAAATGGTAGTATGTTTGTTTACCTGTAGAAAACAAGCTGAAAGATTATGACCCAAACCACAAGTGGTTAATGTTCTAGTTTGTACATGCCTGTAAATGTTAGCATGTTTTTTACAGTGTGCATGACTGTGTAGGTAACCAGGGAAGGGAGGAGTTTCTTGCTAAAGGATAAAGTCCAACTTCCGTAGTCTGTTAAAATGCACCTGCACAATCAGACGCTAATTCATCTCCCCAACTTTATTTCCCACCAGTCTCTTCATCCATGTGAAGAACATGTTCTTTATAGTCTGTGCCTTTGTTTTGGATATTCTCTTAATCTAGAATCTTCTGCTTTGCTTTGTCATTTGACACTACCCTTCTAGGCCTAGTTGAATGATCACCTCTTCAGTGAGACCTTGCATAATGCCCTTAGGAAATTGAGCATCCCCTCTTTGAGATTCTAGAAGCATTTGGCATATTATGTCATAATTACTGGTCTATTTCCATTTCCTCTTCTGTACTATAGACAGACATTTTTTTGATGGTAGRAACTATTATTTGTTGATCTTTGTCTTTGTTACCACCTCCCCTCCCACCCTGTACTAAAGATTGAACTCAGAAGAGACTTGCACATAGTATGCAATCATGCACCACATCCCAAGTCCCTTTTAAAATTTTATTTTGAAACATTGTCTAAGATGTGCAGGCTGGACTCAAACTTTCAGTCCTTCTGCCTCAGCCTCTTGAGTAGATGGGATTGTAGGTATGTACCAGCACACCCACTCATTTATCTATCTGCCCCAGCTACTAGGATAGTGCTGGACACATCATATACATTCAACAACTATTTGCTGAATGAATGAGTGAAGACATTAACAAGTGAAAAGTCAAATAGCACAGCAGGATTTAAAGAATGCTTTCTAGATAGCATAAGAGACATCACAAGGCAGTACAAGATTAATTGCTGTATGACTCGTAGATCAGTAATTGCTATAGAAATGAGAGAAGGCATCTTATTCATCTTTGTATATCTTCCAAGCACCTAGCTGGTGACTTGCTCATAGTGGAAGTTTGGTAAATGCTGTGTGAATGAATAATCACAGAGCCTTTGAATGAAGTGATGATGGGCAATTGAAGAACAAGCAGTGCAAGTGCTGCATTAAGATGGATGAGTAGTTTCTTAAACATCCATCACCAGCTTCCACAGAKCTGAGCCATAGCTCTTGCTGGGTTTTGTGGGGGAAATTGGGCTGGCAAATGCTTGGAGTTGTAGAGGACACAAGAAAAAGTATAARTATTATAAATAAAAAGTATAAAGTATTCATCTGAGAAAGATAGACTTAAAACCAGGAAACTTTACATACAACAGAGAACAAGAATAATAGTACAAAAAAAGATGTGCACAATATGTAGCCAACAGATGTTATGTGAACATTAAGAGCAATGACCAATGAGAAAAGGGGAGACTAGTGGTGTATTTGGGAAAGTATAATAGAGGGCAGGGCTTGTAAGGTCATTAACTATTGAGCCTCTACTATGTGTCAGGAACTCTGGTAGGTTACCAGGGAAATGATGTTGATAAATGGCATCAGGTGATAATAAGTCTGATAGCAGCAAGTGTGGAAAACAGGAATAGGAAATAAAGGAACTGGTTAGAGGAAATAAAGTGTGGCTTCAGAGATCCTTAGAACCTGATGATTTCATAGCTAAAAAAGGGGCTCAGGAGCACCATCAAAATTAGGGTTGTTTTGCCAAAGTAGGTAGTAAAAAACATCAATATATCTTATTCCACCAGATTTTTCATCTAAATAAATGAACTCCCTCATGCCAAAATAGGGAAGGAGGGAATGGCAGTGAAATGGCTGTACAGCCACTTGTAATTTTAGTAAGACTCAGTTTTGGTTAAAGAGCTTATGACAGGTAAAATAATCCAGAAAGCCACAACAGCGGAATTCACATAATAAAAAGATCCTTGGGCTGGGGATGTAGCTCAGAGGTAGAGACCTTGCTGACCATGTGTAAGTACCTTGGTTTGATCCTCAACATCCTCACCAGTTAAATAAGGAAATCTTTGCCAGTTAAATAAGGCTATCTCCATGCTTCTTCAAAATGAGAGATTCCTCATCCTTTGCCTTAGACTTGAGCTTACAGAGTTTCATGGACTTATATCTCTCCACTTTATGATGATAAAACACAGAGCCACATAGGTGAGTCATGTGAAGCCATCAAGTTAGGAACAGACTAAAATAAAAACTAGGCTTCCAGACTTCCAAGCCCACATTCTCTTCCCTACACCATGCTCATACTATGTCCATGAATAAGACACTTCTCCCACACCATGGGATTCAATGAGCTTTGGAGGGCTAGCCTAGAAGTCTATTTTTTGCTGATTCTATGAGAAAATGAATTCCAAGTTGTATCTCAAAATATGCATTTCAACCTCCCACTCCTCCTTTTACCACCCTGGTGAACACAGAAACTGGCCAGCAGGAATGAATGAAGACCATTTCACACTCTTAATAACTTGCTTGGAAATGAACCAAACAAAATTTATTTATCCAATCAAAGAAAATATTTATATAAGCAGATTTCTTAAAATTAGGGACTGATGTTTAGGATAAATCTTAGAATTATCCAAATTAACTACTTGTCTTTCTCAAAAATAAATATTACTAGTCTTCCTCCACCATGCAGCTGTAAAAGTACACACTATTCGTTGAAGGAGAAGCAGGAAAAAACAACTTTTACTTCCTGGAATATGGGAGAGGTATCTAAAAATCCCAGCTATTAAAATGATACTGGACTGATTAGGATCTTTTTTGTTAATAACAAAGCAAAGGGAAAAAATGAGGGTTGGGTAACTTGACTTGTAAAAATATTCATTAAAGTCATCTACATTCCATCACTTTGTGTAATTATGGCAAAGCATAAGGGTTTATTCACATCATTAAATAAGTCAAGTTAAATTATTTGACAGCAACACAACCTCTTGTTCAGAATCTCTCAGTCTTATACTTTATGGCTTATTTAGTTGGGTTATCTGCTCCTGGCTTTTAACATAAGATAGAAGGAACAGTGCTGGCCTAGTAATTGGAGGCCAGTCTGCCTTCTAAACAGGGGCAAAAGTAATAGCAGTGAATATGACCAATTCCTTTCCTTTCTATTAAGCCAGTCTGTAAAATCTTGCAGAAGAACGGTGGAAGCAGAGCTGTCTCCCAAAGCATCACAGAGAATACTCTGGAACAGTCTACTTAGATACTGCTTATAGTTTAGTTTCTGATCCTCATGATATTCACAGTATATGGTTTTGTCACATAATGTATTCCTAAAAAGGTATACAAATGCTTTGAGTATGTGGAAATTAAACAAGTTTATGTTATAATGTGCAGTTTTCTTTTTAGAAAATAAAATTTTCTCCTCAACATTAGCAAAATTCTTTGATAACACAATACCATTTTTTAATCTAAATACTTCCTTCTTTTATATGCAGCTAACCAGCTTGGATGTTCAATGAGGATCCACTGAGAGCCTAAGACTTGTCACTTATGACTGGGTACCTCTGATCAGTTCTAACCATGTCTAAAGTGGGCCACATTCATGAGACACAGGCTTCTCATCAGCATTTTCATTTTGTGTCTTCTACTTATTTTAATATAAGAACAAAATGCAATAAATAATAAAATATTGCACAGTGATGCTAGCACCATTGGCCGATATAGATTTTACCATATTACTAATCATGCTTATTCATCAGAGTATGCACAAAAACTGTTTGGCATTCAAAAAGAGATTTAGAGGTACTGAATATTTAAAAAGTATCTCTTATCAAAATCAAATATTTTTTAGATAAAAGACTGTCTATAAAAAACAGGAAGAACAACTGTATCAATATTGTAATTTCTTATTCTTTTTATCTCACATACTTCTGTTTCTCCCCAAGAAGTGATAAAGAAAGCAAAGGGACCTTTGAGGGCACATTCACAGAATGGCTACCATGTGCCAGGCGCTACACAAGATAATCGGTGCAAACACTCTCAATATGGTGTGGCCAATACTGTATTTTATATCAAAACCAAAACCAAACAAAACCTAAGACTCCCCCAGAAGCTCCTAACTTCAATAAAAGTTCTTGTTTGCTGTGCTGAAGAATGAGATTGAGAAAGAACCTTTAATTATTAGAAAAAGGTCTGATAAAACTGTATTTAAATGGCCCATTAATGATGTGTTTTTTATATATCTGTGAGGGATTGGAGAATAAGTCTATTCTCTGGTCTGGTCTGAAACCACCAGATTTCTGATATTTTTAAAGCAACAGTTAAGATACTGATTTTACTAAATGTTTAAGCATCATTAAGGATGTGAGCTTTAAAGGTATACTTGTTTGATGGGGACTCAAAACTCATGACATATTTAAGTCTCTACTTTCTCTGCACAAACAGATTTACCAAGCCTGGTTTAATAATAAGTCTGGAAGAAAATAGACAACTATTACTATTTTAGATTCTTTCTCCCTCTTTAGACTCTTCAGCAGTGTGTGTGGGGTGAGGGGAAGCCAAGGCTCTTCCTATCTCTTTATAGCCAGAACTAAGACTTAGGAAGACAAGAGAACAAGAAATGGGCTCCCTGGAATCCCAAGCTTCAGGTTCTAACCACTTTCAGTGGTTCCCTGGCAAACATCACTGTTTTGAAAATATACATTTCTAAACTGAAAGAGCTACTTGGTAGTTCCATGCCTTGGAGATATGGAAGAGAAAAGCTTCTAGAACGCCAATAATCAGTTGCTGGTGAATTTCTACATTTAGGCATTTCTTGAAGGAAAGAGGGACTGTCCTTTTGGATGGAGAGTGTAGTAACCTAGAATCAGCAGACCCAGATTCTAAACCTTCCTCTTCTTCTAACCAACCAAGCACTCTTGGTTCTAGACTTGTAGGGGACCCTATATTTGCCTTCTGTATAAGAAGAATTAGGATTAATTTTTTTCCAAAGTCTTTTTCAGGTTGTTTGTATATGACTAGTTCTACCACTCAAACACACTCCTGAACATACAGGAAAGTAGAAGAATTATTTTAAATTAGGTCACTTCTTTTCTTACTTGAATACTGAAAGTCTTATACTCCCTTTAGAAATTAGACTGGACTAGGAAATACATAGGGACTAATATAAGTGCACTGCCATATAATCACTTATAAAGTACATTTCTGATCACTCGTTAKATTTCTGATATGAGAGATTTGAGGTAAGTGTCCTGATTGAGTCTTCATCCTTTTGGCAAACAAGAAAGAAGATCAAAATACTTGACGATGGTGAATCAAGTCCTTGGTTTTCACTTCTTCATTCCTCTTCAAGGATAACCCAAGCCAGCAGGGTTGCAACAATGTCAGCAATGAGACTGGATCTTAAAGTCAGCAGTCATGCCAGAAAACTCAACATGAAGTCATCATTAACAGGCTGGAAATTGCAAGTCTTAAAAAGGCAGGTCTTAGGAGACGGAATCAGCGACCTCTGGGTGGAACAGGTGGAGGAGGAAGGAAGGTCTCTCTGGCTGGAGGTCTGAAATGAAAGATAAAGCAACTCTATTTTAAAAGTAACCTGATTAAATACCTCTTAGGCATCCATGATTTGTGGTAAACTTTGTGTAATATACAAAGGACAGATCCCTCAATTAATGAAACTGGACCCACCCTGAAAGTGTCTGAGTGACATGCATGCCAGTGGTGGCTCACAATCCTGGCTGCACATTAGAATCACCAGTGGAGCTTTTAACAATGCCAATTCCCAGGTTCCATCCGAGATGCATCCCATCATAATCTCTGGAGGACATGGCTCAAGCATTGAAACATTTTAATAGTGTCCCTTCTGTAACCACCTGTATCAACTACATCTTTTATTTTCTGATGCTTTTCCCTCTTGGAGTCTTGTCCCCCTTGGAGGGACTGTTTTCCAGGGTTAGCAGGTCCTGACTGATTCATAAACAAGACACCCATCTGCAAGCACCAAGCACACTTTTATTACAAACCACCTCATCCACACCCGTATCCAACCATTTCCTTGGGGCCATTATCCAATCTGGATTTTCCCCAGGGTCATATATGAGATAATTAGGGAGAGCCAATGCTCCAGATCCCACTAGCGATCCTAAATCAGCAACCCTATCTCACTCATTTTTTCCTATGGAAACCATAATGAAAGCCCCTGCCCAAGTCTTCCCTTCATTCTGTCTGCTTCCCAACCAACTCTGGTGCTTCTTGGTGTGAGCACACCCCCGCCCCCCGCCATGCTGTGACATGTTCCCTGCTCTTGGGAACTATGTTTTTTCAGTGGCCATTTTCTCCTGATATGTTGACCTTACCACACCTAAATAATAATGAAACCTAGATCTTAAAACACCAGTGATTCAAATAGTCAGTCAGGCAGGAGCCCACGTGTAGTAGGGAGGCCTGCTGAGAGAGGAATTGAGAACTTAGTCTGCTGCTCAGAACCACCTCCTGTGGGACCATTAAGTCTTATTTCAACTCTGCATTTGCTTTCCTAAAGCCTCTCTCCGTGTTATTCTGGAAGGTTTTTGTAAGGTCCTAAATGACACTCCAGGTAGACCAGGGCGAGTCTATTTACAGATAGGTTCAATGATTACAAATGGCATTTCCACATGTGTGCTGTAAAACCAATATTTAATTCTCTTGGAAGCAAGTCAATAAGTCCAGAAAGAGAGCTTTGTCAGATGCTGTAATTGAACTGTGCTACCCGGGAGTTGCATACTCGAGGACTGAATGAATCAATGAGTAAATATTTACTAAATGTCTCCTGAATATTAGTTTTACGTAGGTCAAGGAAATGAAAACGGAGCTGGGAAGTGCATGGCCACTTCAGGAACAAGGTAGAAGTAGCAATGAATAACCACAGAAGGACCTCTTCCTTCCCTGCTCCCTGAGATAGATGGTTTTGTGTTTTTTGTTGCTGAGTAACTGAACTTTATCCAGTGAAAGTGAAAGGGTGGTCTGCTCCCATTCTCCCCAGCCTGCGCTATAAACTGTGTGTTATAAGAGAACAATGAAGGTTGAGAAACCCTCCCTCCCCAAACATCTTCCCTCCCTCCCTCCCTCCCTCCCTTCCTTCCTCTCTTTACAAACATTTGCCTACCATGCATGTATTCCTGCATGTGGTATGTAGCAACAAGTAAAATGGGCATGGATTTGGCCCTTAAGATACTGTAAATGTATAGATGAGACAGACAATAGCCCAACTCAGACACTCTGTTGAGTGTTTTGATAGGGGAAGCTAAGAACATACAGGAACATCTAATGGAGACATTTATGCACACCTGTGTTAGTGTATGCAAATTCAACTTCTCTGAGACTGTCTTCTCATCTGGCAAACAGAGTTAATGACACCTACATTAGAGTATGTGTGACATAGCAATGACAACTGGAAGTAGATAGCACAGTTTGGGGCTAAGAGTAGGCACTTGAGAAGTAAAGCTAAAAATTTCACTGAGGATGAAAGGTTAGTCTAAGATCTTTTCCCCAGAAGACTGGTACTTTATCTCCCTCTACAAGACACACTTCCCTCCCAATTCCTCTCTCTTTCTGCTGCCACACGCCGCAGTTGGGTGGACCTGCGAGCATGCCATATCACGCTTGCAGAGCTTCCATACTCATCTACTGTGTTTCATTCTGATGAGCAACTCCTGGAACAGACTGGAAACCCCATCTGGGAGAAAGCGACTTGTACACATATTGGAACCTGGGAGGTAGAAAGGTTCTAGATCCAAATGGGGGAGTGGTCTGTGGAGAGCCTGCCTCTCCAGAACACTGGGAAGCTGAAGTTGGAGTTGACTGATCTGAGACATGTGGGCATTGGCCTCTTTTTCCTCCCTGTTCAGGGTGACAGGTCACTTATGAAGACTTTGGTTCACACATCGTCAGCACTCAGTCCTGAGGTTGGTTAATGTTCTTTTAAAATAGGGATCCTTTCTGGTATGCCTTTGTGTGGTCATTTACTCTATTTAACATAATTTTTAACTTCCCTAATAGTTAATATGTAGCTGTGTCCCAAGTCCACTCACTTCCTGACCTCTCCAGTCCCTCGTTGGATTTCCACAGACCTTGTTCAGTCAGAAACTAAAGGATTAACTCATGGGGCTGCAGGAGGTCTCCAGAAGCAGGTTCTGGTCATATAGGTCACAGGCTTTTCCTTAAATCCAAGTGTTGGCTAGTGATGGCAACTCACTAGTGAATGGCCAAATAAGTTCAAAACAAAAGGGAAATACTTAGTGAAAGTTTTCCTTTTTCCCCTCAACTGTGACAGGACATTACCTATGCAGAGCTGACACTGTCCCACCCTAAGGGGTCTAAGGAGCAAGGGAAATGCCAGGCAATGTTACACCACACCTGCTGCAATCCTCACCACCATCTTCCTTCTTTTCTTTGTCTCTTCAAATAAATGTACTGGGAACTCACAGTAGGTGAGTACAGAAGCTCCTTCTACTGTCTGCAAACCACCAGCACCATGGTGGGTGGCTTGATGGCTGTTTTAAGGGCTTAGGAAGTCCAAACCAAGCTGTTACAATCCGTCCATCCATTTACACAATAAATATTTACTAAGTTCCTAATACACGCCAGTGTATTTTTAGGTATTTAAGTGCATCCCAGTTTCCCCTGTGTCAGGCACCAGGGGAAACATTTAAAAAATTAAATCAAAAGTAGTTTTTCCTCTTGCAAGGTTCACCATCCACTTGAGGAGACAGGGATGTAATAAGGGTTGCAATGTGGATTAGAATAGAGGTATTTGGGGAAACGAAAGTAAAAACACTCTGCATGGAAACATCAGGGAAGACTTCCTAGAAGAGGTAATGTTTGGACTGAGTCCTAAAGAATGTATAAGCAGAGACTGGAAGGGACTAGAAAGACAGCTTCCCAGGCAAAAGGAACAGATTGAAGAAAGAAAACAGTACAAAATAACACAGATTTCCTAATGGGTTGGAGCATAGGTGAATATAGGAGAGGAATGGGACTTAATACACAGACTTAAATCCGAAGGCTCTTAAGCCAGGAAATGACATCATCAGCTATTTCTGTTCTAGAAAGTGCATGCTGGTTGCATGTGGAGGAGGGACTGACGAGAGGCAGGGAGGTAGGTGTGGGCCTACAAGATGAACTTAGGCACTGGCAGATGGGAAGGAGGGGGTGGCTCTGAGAGCTGACAGAGTAGCAGAATGGGCAAAGTCTGGAGTGGGGAATCTTGAGGAGGACTCTTGGGTTTGGGGCTTAGAGAAGAGAAAGAATGACACCACAATCCCAGACTGGGAATGCATGAGAAGGAGGCAGCTTGGGCCCAGAATGGTTGGTAGGCTGGTGAGCTCAGTTTTGCACAGGCAGTATCTGACATCCCTGTGGGGCATCTAGGTGAAGATCCCCAGTCAACATCAGGAGATAAAGATGGAGATGACAATGGAGGTATGGAGGCTATCTGCTGAAGGCAATTCAGGTTCTGGGGAGAAAACGTGGAGTGAGCCCAGGATTGGACCAGATCTGGGATAGTGTGGGATCAAGGCTGTACCGGACAGTGCAGCTTGAGTGGGAATGGTGGTTCAGGAGAACAAGGGCTGAGAGCAGTCGCCCATTCCCAGATCTGAGAGTGAGATGGGGACCCACAGTCAGCCTCTGCAGCCTGCCAGCAGGTCAGTCATCCAAGCCATTCAGGAGAGGAGCTCACTTTATTCCCTGCTCAAAGTTTGCCTCATTTTATTATGAAAATACATGCTTACAATACAATTGCATATTTGAAAATGTTATTTCACACCAAAAAATGCGTGGAAACCCCAACTTCCATCAATTACAGGTTTCTTTGCAAATGCTGTCTCTTTAACAAAGAGTATTTTTCCCCTTTTCCTCCCATCGTTTTCACAACATTCTTCCAAACTCCCCAAATATAATTCATCTGCCATGACTTTTTAGGTATTTAAGTGCATCCCAGTTTCCAGTCTCTAGTTTCTGGAACCTTGGTCACTCTCTTTTTCTCTTCCATAAACAAAATCCTACAAAATCTTTTATAGCTATAGTTTCAAGCTCGACAACTCTTCCCCCCCCCTCTCTTTTAAGTTGTAGATGGACACAATACCTTTATTTTATTTATTTATATGTGGTGCTAAGGATCCAACCCAGGACTTCACACATGCTAGGCAAGTGCTCTACCACTGAGCCACAACCCCAGCCCAACTCTTTTGTTTTAACACAATTAGACAACTGCCCCCAAAGTCCTCAGCCTTCAGGAATAAAAGGTTTTGGATCTTGGGTCTCCTCCTCTGACATGGAGACTTTCTTGACACAGTGACTAAAAAACTGTGTCCTAAACTGGGTGTGTTAGCACACATCTGTAATCCCAGCAACTTGGGAGGCTGAAGCAGGAGGATCATGAGTTCAGTAACCTCAGCAAAAGCAAGGCACTAAGCAACTCAATGAGACTCTGTCTCTAAATAAAATACAAAACAGGGTTGTGGATGTGGCTCAGTGGTCAAGTGCCCCTGAGTTCAACCCCCTATTACCCCCTCCCCCTAAAAAAAACTGTTCCAGAGTCAGCTATACTCAGGTATGTCACACAGACCAAGTCTCCACCCAACTTCAAGCCCCAGTTTCTGCATCTGCAAAATGTGATAACATTAAATATCCATCTCTTAGGGTTGTGGAGATAATTAAACAAGATAATGTATCTACTGTGTTTGATATAAAACCTGCCACAATAAATAATGGCATTTATTACCATAATGGCTCTTAATAAGGTGCCTCCACAATCACCAGCTAATTTTCAACCAGTAGAACATAATGCAAATTCAAGAGACTGGACTAGATTAGCACTCAGGTTCCTTGTAGAGTGGTGATATTCTAATATGTGCCCTCTGGTCCACACCAGGAAATATGCCTGTCGAATGTGGTGCGGCTTGGGGCCGTAGGATGTTTGAGAGGCAGGTGTCAGTTCATAAATGTTGGTGGAGCACATGCAAAAGTGGTAAATAGCAAAGGAGAAATGGAAAAGCACAAAATTGGTCTCTCTTTTCAGAAAACCAGAAGAAAAGCCTCCTGGTTACACTTCCTTACAAATTCCACTAATGAGCTTTATGTTAAAGTTTCAGAATGTACAAAAACATCCTGGGTTTGTGTGTGTGTGTGKGGGGGGGTTCCTCCTTTCTTATCCCCTGCACCTAGAATATTATATTTTAAACATCAAAGAATTAAACTCCTAATACAATTAAAGGCTTTTATTCCCAATGGCTCCTTTCTGTATCGGTGGACACACTAGCTAGCTTTGACCACTTTTTCTGTTACTCCACAAAGACTATAAGAAGATTCCTACCAGAGGTCCAGTACCAAATGCATAAAGACATACATCAGAGCCTAGTATATTAGTCACACTCTTTATGCTAATGCTCATCTTCAAATCTCCGGGTGTTTGCTCTTCTGCATAAGACATACCATTCATATTTTTGAACTCTTAACATAGGCCATGAACTCGATCCTTATAACTCAGTGAGAGACTTCTGATAGTGACCACATTTTATAGAAAAGAATATTGAGCCACATAAAAGTGCAAAAATTCATCCAAGTACTGAATTCATCAGCTGGACACCTGGCCCCAGGAGGGTAGCTCCGGAGCCATGTGCACACTTAACAGGCCAGTCTGCTTCCTCCTTCATTTCATTTCCAAGTCCTTCTTATCTCCTGTTCCCAAAGACACTGTCCCCACAATACAGTCAAGCGAGTTCAATATTAAGGACTTGGATTCTAGCCAAACATGGACTTTATTTTAAGAGTTGACATCTGTCAATGAATTTCATTTATGAAGTAGTACATTTGCTACTTAAAGTATCTGCAACTAAATAAAGTTATCACCTAAGTTAATGAAAAGCCCACGCTGAAAATGTTGGCATTCCAGGTAGCTCTGTCCCCTGAATCCTACCCTTCCCTGATATTTCATATCAGCTTCAATGTTACCTCTGGGAGGCAGCTCGAGGAGGCACCCGGGGAGGCCTCTCAAGGGGAATAGTAAGTGGTCCATCCATTTGTGTGGGGCCCGGACTACGACTTCTAGTAACTTCGGGGACTTCATTGTCCTACAGCAAAGAAAATGAGAAAGACAGGTGAAAATTACATTAAACCACCCACATTGCTGGACACCCATATCCCCACCACCCATCAGCCCTTCTTGGGCTTTGACTGTACAGGTGTCTATAAACTGGTAATCAACCCAGAAACACCAGGCAGCTTTTTATGTCTTCCTGGAGTAACTGAAAAAGATAATCTGGCCCAAATTATCACAAACTCCTGGACTTTAAATCCTCATTGCTTAAAGGAGGCCAGAAATGGCCTCCTTTGACCTGTTCTCAGGAGATTTCAGAGTCAGTGGTGACGCAAGTGGTCCCTGCTGCTCCTCCCAGCCACCGGTCACTAGATCAGGGTACACATCTTGACCCAAATTGGGCCAACTTGGAGTGGGGCCTCAGCCTAAAATTCCTCTCTGCCCAGAGGCTTTCTGGGGACTGTGATACTGCACATATGGAGATGCAGAAAAAGCCAGAGTACAGGAGAGAAGAAAGCCGATTTGCACAAAGAGGCAGAGACCAAAGAGCATTTGGCCCTGGGACACACAGGACACACACATTTGGCCCTGTCCCTCTGGCAGGCCTTGCAGCTCCTGATCTAGGCCCCTGCATGATCCCTGCCCCCGAATCTCCTGAGACTCACCCAGCTGCTTCCCATAGATACCCCTTTTGGCTTAATTAGTCTGAATGTTTCTGTCCTCTTCCTTCCTTCCACTCCTCCCTCTTCTCTTCCTTCCATCATCCCTTCCTTCCTTTTAAATTGTGGGAAAATTCACATAACCAAAAACCAACCATTTTACAGTGAACAATTTTGCTGTCTGTCTAGTCTCAAGACATTTCATAGCCAGGCATGGTGACACATACCTGTAATCCCAGATAATCAGGAGGCTGAGGCAGGAAGATGGCAAGTTCAAGGCCAGCCTGAGCAACTTAGTAGGATTCTATCTCAAAAATAGGAATAAAAAAGGCTGGGGATGTAGCTCAGTATAGAGCTCACCTAGCATGCATGAGGCCCTGGGTTCAATCCCCAACATGGGAAGAAAAAAATTTTATCACCCCAAAAGGAAATCGTGTAACCATTAGTGCCCGTTAAGCAGTTTGTCTCCATTCCCTGCCTCCCACCACCCCCTACCAACCACCAGTGGTCCTTCTGTCTCTCTGGATTTGCCTCTTCTAAGATTTCATATAAATTGAATCCTCTAATATAAGACCTTTTATGTCTGGCTTCTTCACCTGGATTTCAGTCTCTTGCAATGAAACAACACCTAGCACAGACAGATGGGTGGGAGTCCTGGTTCTCACCTCGTTGTCACCCTCCATCCCGCTGCTCACACTCAGGAGGCTCCGTGTGCTGGATCGGTTACTTGTGCTACCTAGAGGGTAAGAACAAAATCAGCCAGACGGTTGGATTCTCTCGGGAGGAAAGGAAATGCAGAGCTCTAGCATTTATTTATTTTTATGGAGAGAAACAATACATAAGCTGTGAACACAGGATTCTTCCAAATGTGTCCATCGTATGCCCTTTTATCAGAGTTCAGTTTTTCTTTCAGCATGAGATGAAATGGTTCACTTTTTGATGACCACTCTTGGCTTAATAGCTGCCATTGACTGAGGGCTTACCACACGTTAAGTGCTTCAGAAACATGATTGCCATTTAATTCCCTTGAAAATCCTATTTGATAGGAGAGCTTTGATTTGACAGGCAGGGAAGTAGAGGTGGTCTCATTCTAAGTTGCTCAGTATCTCTCTCTCTTTTTTTTTTTAAGAGAGAGAGAGAAAGAGAGAATTTTTAATATTTATTTTTCAGTTCTCGGCGGACACAACATCTTTGTTGGTATGTGGTGCTGAGGATCGAACCCGGGCCGCACGCATGCCAGGCGAGCACGCTACCGCTTGAGCCCAGCGCTGCTCAGTATCTCTTGAAATCTGCAAGCTAGTTTTGTTGCTGCAGTGCTCATTGAGAAAGTCCAGGAAATGAGTGCATGAATCACACATGCATACACCCCTTGTATTAGTTTTTTGTTTAGTTTCATTGTGGTTCTGGGGGATCAAACGGATCAAATCTCACGTATGCTAGGCAAGCATTCCACCATTGAGCTAGAGCCCCAGCCCCACATACCATGCTAATTAAGGGAGAGACACTTGGATGGAAAAAAAAAGGGGGGGGGGAGGGGATGAGGATGTAGGTCAGTAGTAGAGCACTTGTCTATCATGTGCGAGGCCTTGGGTTCAAATCCCAACACTATAAAAACAGGAAAAAAAATGCAAAACACAAATTCAAAAGTATAATCTAAGCTCATGGTAGAAACTGTGACTATGTGTGTTTAGATGTTTAGGTTTTTGAGTTGGGAATTCATCACCTCTGTCATTAGATAGCACTACCCAATAGAACTTTCTAGAAATGTTCCATTGTGGGCTATTCAAAATGGTAGCCAGTGTGAAACATGACTAGTGCACCTGAGGAGATGAATTTTAAATTTTATTTAGTTGTAATTAACTTCGATATAAATACCCACATGTGGCCAGTGGCTACTGTACTGTCTAGTACAGCATTAGAAGCTGCCTAAGCACATGGTGATCTAGCAGTGAAGAAGGAAGAGTAAGAGTTAATCAACTATTTTGCAAGAAAATTTTAACTTTGATTTACCAATAATGCCACTGATCGTATCACCAGATCTTAGGTTTGCTGAGTTTCCTCTTAAAATAGGTCCAAATCATTTTAGTTTGCAGGTAAGTAGTCTTAGTTTTGACCTGCTTATGGTATCAACTTTGACCTAATTTATTTAGATGTTAGCTGGAAAAGAGTTGGTTAGGTTGTAATTTTGGATTGTTTCTTGGGATTTTTAAAATTTGTTTTAATTAGTTATACATGACAGTACATGCACTCTGACACATCATACATAAATGGAGTATAATTTCTCATTCTTCTGGTTGTAAGTGATGTAGAATCACATCAGTTGTATAGTTAGATAGGTACATAAGGTAATAATGTCTGATTTACTCTATTATCTTTCCTACCCCCATACCCCCTCCCCTCCTTTCTCTCCCCTCTACCTAATCCAAAGTAACTCTATTCTTTCCCAACGCCCCCCATCATGAATTAACATCCACATATCAGAGAATACATTCAGCCTTTGGTTTTAGGGAATTGGCTTATTTCGTCTAGCATGATATTCTCCAGCCCTATCCATTTATTGGCAAATGCCACAATTTCATTTTTCTTTAAGGATGAGTAATATTCTATTGTGTATATACACCACATTTTCTTTATCCATATATCTGTTGAAGGGTACCTAGGTTGGTTCCATAGTTTAGCTATTGTGAATTGAGCTGCTATATACAATGATGTGGCTGTGTCACTGTAGTATGCTGATTTTAAGTCCTTTGGGTATAAACTGAGAAGTGGGATAGCTGGGTCAAATGGTGGTTCCATTCCAAGTTATCTGAGGAATCTCCATACCACTTTACATAACGGTTGCACCAATTTGCAGTCCCACCAGCAATGTCTGAGTGTACCTCTTTCTTCACATCCTCATTAACATTTGTTGTTGCTTGTATTCTTGATGATTGTCATTCTGACTGGAGTGAGATTAAATTTTAGAGTAGTTTTGATTTGCATTTCTCCAATTGCTAGAGATGTTGAATATTTTTTTGTATCTTTCTTGATCAATTGTATTTCTTCTTCTGTGAAGTGTTTGTTTAGTTCTTTAGCCCATTTATTGATTGGGTTATTTGGTTTTCTTGGTGTTAAGTTTTTTTGAGTTCTTTATATATGGGATTTTTAAATTTCAAATAATGTGGCAAAATATATCTGTAAACTAGGAAATTCAAATTTGTTTATTAAAGAACATGGGATCTAAAAAAAAAAGAACATGGGATCCTGTCCCTATCTACCAGAACACTGTCCACCTGGCCAGAATGTCTTTATATCCCCATTCCCCCTGGCTCATTGCTGTTCACAAGTCTAAAACCTCCTAATCACTGACAAATGTCATCAAAACCTCCCCCAGATTCCTCCAGCTAAATGCAACTCCTGGGCCCTGGGCTGCCATCTGCCTGTGGTAAGCTCCCCAGGTCATTCATGATTGAGCATCATATTTCCTTCTAAAGAACCAGACTGTTGTTGTGAAGGTCATCTGTTAGCTAGCAGGAAGTAAAAAGCAATCATGGCTACTGGAAATTTATACCTATGTGCTCCTACTGTCCACTCCCTTGGCATCTTTAAATCTTTAACCCCAATGTTTAGTTCCAAACCTCAGCCCCCGGATTCAACTGCCCAGCCCTGTCCCCTCTCTAGGCTGATGACTCTGGCCCATATCTGCCCCGAGTTGAACAGTTAGTAGGAGGCCCTGGCCCCACCTCCCATCATTTTCAGTCTTGCCAGGGGTTGGGAGAGCAGTGCCACCCCATACCAGGTCCCGTCATCAGGAAAGAAGGACCAGATGAGCGTCTAACTTGTGTTGTTTCTGTATTTTCTCTCCTCTATTACAAACCCCTAAAGACAGGATCTGGTTCTGTTTTCATCTTTGTGTCTCCAGCATGCAGTCAGCTCAGTTTGCATAGAGCTCTGCTCACTATTTGGTGGATGAATGAATGAGGAGGAAAAGGAAATGCATACAGTATAACTCTTACGAAATCCGGACCAAAAAGTCTAGGAGAAAGACTCTCTGCAATGGAACTTTTGTTCTCTTAGACATAACACTAATATCTCAGGCCTAAATTTTCAGTTCTAACCAGAATTAATCTGCAAATGTTTTTCTGTAGTTCCCAAAGATGGCAGCTATTTAGCTCTAAAAATAGAGATAGTTTCAAGATGTGACTGTGGAGATAGTTGATGGATCAGAGTCCAGACACCCTCATACTTCCTCTCTGCCCTGGGAGTTATTTTCATCTGGAAGGCAAGGTTTCCCCAAGATTGGAGCACAGGAAGAGCCAGGCACACTGGGCATGGTGGTGCACATCTGTAATCCCAGTGATTTGGGAGGCTAAGTCAGGATGATTGCCAGTTCAAAAATATCCTTGCAACTCAGCATGACCCTGTCTCAAAATTAAAAATAAAAGGGGTTGGGGATGTAGCTCAGTGGTAAAGCACCCCTGGGTTCAGTCCCCTGAACCAAACAAGAGAGCCAAGCAAGGTGACACATGCCTATAATCCCAGCAACTCAAGAGACTAAGGCAGGAGGACCACAAATTCAAGGCCAGTTTGGGAAACATAGTCTCAAAATTAAAAAAAAAAAAAAAAAGGGGGCTAAGGCTGAGGATGTAGCTAAGTGGTAGATTCAATCCCCAGTGCTGGAAAGAAAAGGCAAAACAAGACCCATGTAATCCAAGTGGCTTGGAAGGCTGAGGCAGGAGAATTGAGAGTTCAAAGTCAGCCTCAGCAATTTAGTGAGGCCCTAAGCAACTTAGCAAGACCCTGTTTTCAAAAAGTAAAATCAAAAGGCCCAGGGATGTAGCTCAGTGATTGAGGGCCTCTGGGTTCAACCCCTGTCTACCCCCTGCCCTCCCAAAAACAGAAATCAAGAAAGGGTAAATATGATTAAAGTTCAAAAATAGCCTTGCAACTTAGCAAGACCCTCAAAATAAAAAATAAAAGGGGCTGGGGATGTAGCTCAGCAGTAAAGCACCCCTGGGTTCAGTCCCCAGAGACACCCCCACATTCTTGCACCCCCCCCCCCCCGCCAGGACAAGTTGCCTAACCTCTCTAAGTCAATTTTCTTATGTAGAAACTCATGACATTGTGGTGTAGGATGAATTMGATCATGTGGTAATGCCTGCAAAAAGCAAGCATTTGATTCATGGTAATATCTTTCCTCATCATTTTCAATTTCAAGGTAACAGGCCAACCTGTAGGAACCCCAGTGAAACTCGCCTCACAGTATCCATGCCTCTGTGTGCCCCCTTCCTCCTCACTGTGGGCTTTGGCCAATGTAACATTAGCAAGTGCAACTGATGCAAGCCAAAGCCTGATAAGCACTTGCACAAATGGGGCTCCTCCTCTTGGAATGTTCCCTTTCCAGATTGTGTTGCCTTGTAAGAAATCCAGGCTTTTGAATTAAAGGTTATGTGGTGGGAGGCCCTGGAGGATAAGAGGCCATCTTGGATGTTCCAGCGGATTGCAGTCACATGAGTGACCCCAGCCAATGCCACACAAAGGAGGTATGAGCCATTCTCTCCAAATATGCTCAAGCTATGGAATCAGGCATAAATAAGTGATTATGTTTCAAGCAACTAAGTTTGGGCGTGGTTTGTTACATAGCAGTAGATAATGGAAACTATAAAAAAGAAACTGAGTGTCACAAATAGCCACAAAATAGCATACAATCCATTAGTCTGTCATTTAGTAACATTTTCTAACTGATGCGTAGCCATCCCTGGACAATAAACCACTACACAAAGTAAAAACTACAGTCTATTCTTTCCATCTTGTCCTAACCCCAACCAATTTCAAAGTAAAACATGTACATAACCTCTTTTCAATTATAGTACCCTTCATATGAAATGGGACTTTTGCATTTGTCTTGTCAAATTTCCAGCTGTCAGTCCCCTCCCCAACTCTGGAATACATTGTCCTCACTGGAGCCTGCTCTAACATTTTTCTTCTCCCATGTGTCCAGAGCAGCACTCCTCTGCCCCTTGCTTCCTCTGCCACCTGAGATTGCTAGGAAACTCTCTCCCATTTCTGAAGTTGTTGGAATTCCCAAATGGCCTGGTGGGGGCGGGGAGGGGTGACTACACATTATCACCCCCACTGTTAATAGAGAGATTTTCTCCTCTGTACAATCTAGACTTCCCAYGTGGTAGTGTTTAAGTTTTGGATCTATTTGGACAGGTAATAGTGGCAGGAACCTTAACCTGAAAGAGACCAAGGGCTGGGTTCTACTCCCACTTTTATTTATTTATTTATTTTTTAAATATTTATTTTTCAGTTGGACACAATAATTTTATTTTGTTTAATTTTTATGTGGTGCTGAGAATCGAACCCAGGGCCTCGAATGTGCTAGGCAAGTGCTCTACCGTTGAGCCACAACCCCAGCCCTCTACTCCCACTTTTGATGCTCTCTGGCTGTGTGGCCTTGAACAAAAATTTTTTCTTCTCTGGGTCACAAATAACCCATCTATGGAATAAAGAGGGCAACTAGTTCAGAGATTCTTGATGTAGGTCCACGGATGGGCAAAATTAGGATTGTGAGTGTGTGTGTATGTGTGTGTGTGTGTGTGTGTGTGTGTGTGCGCGCGCGCGCACGCGCAGATGTGTGGATTTCTCTGGAGAACAGACCCATAACACATACTGGATTCTCAAGGGGGTTGTGATGTAGAAAGGATTAAGAACCTCAAATTACATGACCTTCCTGCTCCAACATTCATTTTGGGGTTCTCTGACTCACATCTAAGAAGACATGAATTCTGAAATTCAGCTTCTCTCTGGCTCTTTCATAGCTTTTCTAGCTATTTTAATAACATGGAAATGTATAAAACGAGAGAAGCCCAACCTATTGGGCTTGTGAAGCCAGTGTGTCTGGAGTCGGCTAACACAGTCCTGGATGAGAAAACAAAGCTCCCAACCCCTGCCCGCCTGCTGGCAGGCAATGTCTGCTGCAATTAGACTCCTATTCAAGCTTTCAAGCCAAAAGAAGACATTTCCTAATGAGATTCTCAACCATCAGTAAAGCTGGAATTCTTGAATTTGAGTCCATTGTTTTCTAATGCTTCTGATCTTGTATCCCTGCCTTCCCCTTAGCACAGCTGGAGAAGCAGCAAAATAGGGGTCAAGAATCTTGGCTCTGGATCCAGATGGGAGTTCAAATCCCAGCTTGACCCCATTAGCTTCTCAACCCAGGACAGGCACCAAGCCTAGAAGTTTCTCTTCATTAAACAGAGGTTGAAGTACCTATCTTATAGAGGTTTTGTGAGAATGAAATAATCTACAAAGATGCTTCACATATGGCCAATGCTCAATAAATGTTAACTATTATAGTTAGGTTTTGCCATTTATAAAAAAGAAGAGTAGGGCTGAGACTGTAGCTCAGTGACAGAGCGCTTGCCTGGCACTTGGGGGCCGTGGGTTTGATCCTCAGGACTGCATAAAAATAAACAAATAAAATAAAGGCATGTTGTCCATCTCCAACTACCAAAAGAAGAAGAAGAAGAATATCATGCAACYTGGCTTCACAAGATAAGAAGAAACCTCACAGGCTAACCATGCCCCATATTTTACACCTCTCAAAACCATATGAGGGGGCTGGGATTGTGGCTCAGTGGTGTACTTGCTTGCCCARTATGTGTGAGGCTCTGGGTTTGATTCTCAGCATTGCATGTAAATAAATGAATAAAATGAAGCCCATAAACAATGAAAAATACGTATAAAAAATTTTTAAAAAACCATATCAGGCCCCAACTGAGATCTCTGGGCTCATAACTGAATGTCTCCGAAGGTGCCGTGGCTCTGGCTGGAGTCCAGCTGTGTGGGCTGCTTACTCGCTGTGCTGGAGGTACTGTCTGTTTTCCAGTCTCCTCGTCTCAGCTCTGTCCTTGGGGGGAAGACGCTTTTCCTGGGGCCGCTCTCATAGACTCCAAACTCCACTTTTCCAGGCAGGTGCTGTGAGTGCCGAATGGGGACTGTGATCTCTAAGTCTGGAATCAGAGGAAAGAGAGATGAGCTTCCAGATGGCAGTCTGTCACTTGCCAAACTGCTCATGGCTGCCTGCCTCCCATGCCTGAGCCTGGGGGTGCCCAGAGGAGGGGCTGGGGCCATGGGTTGTTCTCCCTGCCTATATCAGCACTGGACTTCCAGGGAATGCTAAGTGGCCAAGCTGGGAGACAGAAGGGCGGGGTAGCCAGACTTGAGAGAGGCAGAGAAGCACAGGGAGTGKACAGAACATGCTGTGGCATCCCAGCCCTGACGCACAGCAGCTGTGCAGTGCATCACGCAAGTCAGTCAACCTCTCTTGAGTTACTCCCCTTGTCTGAGGTGGGGGTTATGTAGGGGTTGGCAGTAACGACAGGCCATCCTGTGCACAGGGCTCAGTTCTAAGGGGCTCCATATTTGTAGGTCACTGAATCCCTACAACACCCAAGAAATCAATGGTATTATCATCAGTCCAGTAGAACTCTGGGTCCAGGGGCACCATCTGGGCCTCGTGTCAAGCAGCTTCCCAGCTGTTGGTGTGCTGCAGAATCTTACACATCCTGAGGCTCTCTTGGTTACAAGGGTCCAGTGGAAGCACCCAACCAGGTCTGGAGCCACTTGGACAAAGAAGAGCCAGGCATCCAGGTATGAGCCCCAGGGTCCCAGGACCCACACAGATGTCACATTATTTTTTTTTTCCATCTCAGCTTTGTCCTACATTTAAAAAAAAAAAATCATCTTTTAAAGGGAGGCTCCTGTCTGTTTAATTAACTTCAAGGTGGCAATTTTCTACCCTCAACCGGTTGTATGAGGAAGGAAAGTAAAACACACAGGGGAAAAAAAATGGGAGTCAAAAGTTCAAAAAAATCAGGTAGAGCCAGTCTACATGCTTACAAAATCCTGACACTCCTTGAATAAAGGTATAATGTCAGGAATAATTATCATTATTATCTGGCATAGCACTTTCCCAAAGTGTCTTCATTGACATTTGTATTCCCCCCGGGCKCCATGACTTCTCTACTAAGTAGGTAAGTCAGTGTAACTCCAGTGAGGAAACCGAGGCACAGAGTGGTTAAAGGGAACGGTTCTGGATTGCACGGTAATTCAGTGACAAAGAGGGGGCACAAATGTGGGTTCCCTGGGACTCAGCTGCTCCTCTGTGTCATAGGATACACCCAGAACATAAATATGAATTGTCTTCTCTGTGGGGCCTGGCATTCACCAAGGTCCAAGTCACACCAGCCCTGGCTGATTTCCTTTGCCACCAGCCCCAGCCCAGTAAGAGCAAAGCTACTCTCTGAGGCTGAAAAAAAAACCAGCACACCATCGTGAGCAGAGGCTCCGTTTTCAATTATCCTTAGTATTCCAACCCCTGTTAAAGAAAATAATAACAATTTTGCTAAGACAAATGAAGTTGCCTATTTAAGACTGAGTCTTTGTGTGGAAAGTGAGTTACATTCTTAGAAAAGGCCCTTTAGGCAGAAATGCCACTCATCAACCCAAATGTTCCTGTAGAACAATGATTGCGTGCCAATTATTTTCAAATGCTTTTTGTTTTTGGTGAAACAGAATTCTTTCCTTTAGTGACAACAGAAGCTCAACACAGAAAACAGATTTTTAAAAGCTGCATGATCAAAGCAGAGTTAAGTGGCCCCAGCCCCGGGACCCTAATCCATTCCCTCAGCCCAGTTCCTACCCCCACCCCCATAAACACACATACTGCAGCCCCGAGGCCCCTCAAGGAGCTCAATGTGAAAAGCCACAGAACAGGTAACTTCAAGCCAGCATGTAAGTACACAATCAAGGTTTACAGAGCTAACTAATAAATCATATCTACTCAGCCATAAATGATACCTTCTCTTTGGCAAATGCTCTGACGCCCCTGGGCTTCATCCTGCAGTCCAGGGTCCAACTTCCAACTACCTAAGATAGCCAAATTATGAGTGCCCCCTCCCAGCAGGCCTCAACCAATGACAGACGGGAGCTGGTATATAAATGCTTGCTCCTCAGGTAGGGTAACGCTGAGCAGGTGTTCTCCTTTGACTCCTTCTCTGTGTCACTTCCCCACCCCCTGCTCTGTCCCCTGGGATCACCTTCCATTCGGGCTATCTGCTCTCAGTTCCTTGCCAGAGAAGGGAAATATTCTAAAAAACGGAAGTGCTGCTGGCTGCACAGCCTGGGGAATGCACTGTGCGCCATGGAACTGTACTCAAAAATGGTTCAAGTGGTAAATTTGGTGTTATGCATATTTTAATATAATAAAAATGCAAAACAAGGACGAATTTTGAGGCCTGTGGGGTAGAACATTCTCCCCATGTGGACTGCTGCCATCCCTAGTCATTAATATTCAGTGCCTGTTCAAGTTTGGATCTGGAATCCTCCCCATAGACCCATGTGTTAAAAGCCTTGGTCCCCAACTTGGCACTAGTGGGAGGTGGTGGAACCTTTAAGAGGAGGGGCCTAGTGGGAGGTCTTTAGGTCATTGGGAGTATGCCCTTAAAGAGGATAATCAGACCTCATCCCTTCCCTCTTTCTCTTTTTTACTTTCTAGCCATGAGGCAGTTTTGTTCTGCCAGATGCTCCAGCCACAGGTCTGAAGCAATGGGCCCAATTGATTATGAACTGAAACCTCCAAAACTCTGAGTCAAAAATGAACCTTTTCTCTTTATAAGTTGATTATCTCAGGTATTTTTTACAGAGATGGAATACTGACTAATAAAGTGTCCAATTATATATAGCCTAATACTTGATAGTTATTATGCTCAATTAAATCACCTGATATAAAAAGTTTTTAAAAAATTAACAAGAAAAATCTTATCAAAGGGTCTGCTTCTTGGGGAGCAGCTGGAGGGAATTGAGACATGCTTCATTAGAAAATTTTAGATATTGACCATTCTGATTTAGACTATCACTACTAATAGGTAGATATCACTCATCTGGAGCCTGATTAGTCTTGGGTGAACTCATGATTCTAGGGCCCACTCCTGGATGGTAAGTCCAAGAGAAATACACTCAATGTGGAAGGCCTTGCCTGAGAGGATACCAGCCTGTGAGTGGGCATGTGTAATCACAGGGGCAGCTGGGTTTAGAGTGCTTCCATGTGCCAGKCACTATGCTAGGCACAGGTGATACCCTGGCTTACTTATAGCAACCCTAACAGGTGGGCACTTTTTGCTTTTGCCATTATGCAGACAGGGACAGAGGCTACTAGATTGTGATGCATCTTACTCATGCTTCCTAGTTAGCAGTGAGCAAAAATCTGACCCCAACCCTGCTGGTCCAGGGATCATGCCTATGACCCTTGATCTCCTGCATGGAAACTTCTCTTGCTTCAGTATCTCCTGTGGTGCCAGGTGGAACCAGGGGGGTGGTAAAGATGTGATGACACTCAGAAGGCTCAGACTGCTGAGCACATGTGACTCCAACGCTACAACTCCTGGGCCTTCAGACACTGGGAGCACCACCAAATCACAGGTTTCTTGGTGCTGCCTRTATTTAAAGCTTGCAATGTTTCATTTAATCAAGGCTTCTATCTTTGGGTTCATGAACTCTAGTTTTAAAATGTACCTCAGCCCTTTTACCACCTAGAGCCCTATTATCTGACCCTCAGACGACTGTGCAGACCAGACCTTGAGCCAGACATTCTGCCATCTCTGCTTTCTCTTCCTCTCCACCAGGAGAGCACATAACAATCTGTAGCGGTAGCATAAATTTAAAATCTGGACCCGCAGGCAGAAGCTCTCTGATTCTGCCACAGTTATATAACATTTAGCCCCTCTTCCATCTGACAGTCAAAATCATGAACATTCACTAGGCTATGATTTTCCACATTACACTATATTAGGCATCAGGGGACAGAAGCTTGCAGGGAAACTCAGACTTTTATGAATAAAAAGACAACTAACTCATAAGCTACCAGAGGGCAAAGACAGGGTTCCATAGGATTCTTTATTTGGCTGGAGGCCTACTGCCCAATAAGTGTTTGTGGAATGAATGAACGGTGTCACATTTCATTGACACCAATCATTCCAACAGAGACTTCATGAGCTCCGTCATTGCACTGTACTGCACACTGGGGATTCAGCAGAGCACAAAACAGACTTATACTTGCCCTCATGGAGCTTACTGCAGGAGGGAGGCAGGGTTCTAGGCCATAACCACAAGGCAATTCTGGCCTGTACTACACAAAAGTGGGGAAAGCAAGGCAACAGGAAGTGAATCATGGAAGAATGGCAGAAAAGTCTTCTTTGAGGATGAAAAAGAGCCAGCAGGAAAGATGGCAGAACAGCAAGTGCAAAGGCCCCGAGGGAGAAATAATCTTGCCTGGTTAGAGAAACATAAAAGAATCCATGGGGGAGTGGGGTGGGATACAAGGTGGGAGGAAAATGGAGGATGAACTTAGGGGTCACTTCATGTAGGCCTCTGCAGGCCACATGATGAGTTTGCTGTCAACTGAGTGGCACAGGAGCCCCCCCTGAATGGCTTAGAGCAAGGGAGTGGCATTATCTGATTTGTTACTTTAAAAAAGGCATTGGCTGCAGTTGGAGGATTAACTGTAAAGGGGCAAAAGTGGACATGGGGGGACAACTGAAGAGGCTACTGCAACAGTCTCAGCAAGAGATGATGGTGGTTAGGCTGCAATTGTGGCACAGGAGATGGTCAGAAATGGCCAGGGGCTAGGATTGTGGCTCAGCGGTAGAGCACTGGCCTAGCATGTGCAAGGCGCTGGGTTCGATCCTCAGCACCACATAAAAATAAACAAATAAAATAAWGGTATTCTGTCCAACTACAACTAAGAAAAAAAATTAAAAGAAATGGCCAGATTTAGGGTGTAGTTTGGAGGCAGAACCCCTGGGGATTGCTGGTGGCGTGAATGAAGGAATGAAGTCACAGCAATCAGAGCAGTAAAACAGAAGTGCCAGATGAATGGAAGAGACAGCAGGTCCTGTAGATGCTGGAATGGGGGTGGAACCTGGTGGCCTGCAGTGGGCCCAGAAGACAGGCTGCCAGGTGGGGTCTCGCAGCCCAGTTATATGAACACAGGTGCGAAGGAAGAGGCATGAGCAAGGGGCCTGTGGTGGGAAAGTGTCCTGTTGGGGACCAGGATAGCACCAGCCTGAGGAAGCTCATGAGGAGTGGGGGGTTGATGGCAGCTGGATGCAGACTATGAAGCCGCACAAAAGCAAGGCTAGGTTTCAACTTAGCTCTTCAGGGGAGGGGCCTCCTTCAGGACTGAGGGCCTCTGAAAGCCTTTTCTCACCAGATCCTCTTTCTAGAAGCCCGGCCAGGGAAAAAACACCCACCAGGCCGGAGGCTCTGGGTGACAAGATGCAGTGTGAATATGCCAGATACTTGCTCAGGGTGGAGGTGCCACAGGGTGACCTTGGGGAGGGGGAGTCAAGGGGAGCAGAGAGGCCYAGTCTGCAGTGTGCGCAGCTGAAATGCTCAGCCCTGTGGCTGCACCGAGGAGCCTTGCTACAGCAGGTCCTCGAGMGGCAACGAGTCGTGTGGACTCTGATGACATCAGTCTCCCCTCTAAACAGGAATGGGCTTTACTGAATGGGCTTTTTGCTTTCTGTGTTCAAAGAACATGTGTCTTCCTAAGTGCCAGGGGTAGAGTGGCGTGCCTCAGGAGAAGAGATTGCCATCCTCTCTGAGCAGGAGAGTGGAGCGGTGCAGAGTTCCCTCCATTCATTCATTTGTGGGCATGTGTTTCTGGTGTGCTGGGTACTAGATTGTTTAGAGAATCAACAAGACAGAATCATTGTCTGAAAGATCCTCACAGTCTAGTAGAGGACCCAGATCTGTAAAYAGAGGGAGAGACAGGTGCTGGGCAAGCAGTCTGCTCATTCAGGCCACAACAGTTAGGACAACTGCTCCTCGGTGCAGCGTCCCAGGAAGCCACATACCTGTTTGCTTTCCTGATTTTTGCTTCTCCCTCTGTCTTCGGGTAATGCTATCTCTTAGCCGTTTAAGATTTTCCTGGGGGRAAAAAAAAGTAAGTATATTCCAGAATTACACTTTTTGAATAGTCTAGAGCTTCCTTCTGATTTTAAGCTATAGGCAAGGCCTAAAACATTTTCACATTTGTACCTAAAGAAAGACATTTCTTCCAYAATAACGTCTCTTCCCTCCTCTCTGGCTCTCGGCAGCATTTTCAGCCCTATAACCCACTGCCCTCCTCCACAGACACCCCAGAGGTAAGCTGGTCTCTGATCTGCTCACAAACACTCCTCATACACCTGCCTCTGAGACTGTGTCCTCCCACTATCACCCTGACCTTGAGGGATGCTGATTTCTCTCCACGAGTCTGTTCTGGGCCTGGGTCAAGACTCACCTTCTCCCTGAAACTTCCCCAGACTGCTCTGGGCCTTGGTGTCCACCCTGACAGCACTTGGGGATATGCTGACTTGCAAGTGTGTGTGTGTGTGTGTGTGTGTGTGTGTGCGTGTGTGCGTGTGTGCATGTGTGCATGTGTGCCTGCCTATGTGTGTGCCTTGCCTCTTCAGGAACACTGTGTACTCTCCAAGGGTGAGAGGCCAGGTGTTGTACCTTTTTATAATCCTGCCATCTGGTCCACAGTAGCCATTCAATAAATGTTGAATAGATACTTGAGGCTCAAGATTTGCTTCTACTTTAGTTAATCAAYAACAACAGTATCTGAGCACTATAGGGAAGCTAAGCATCTGAGCATTCAATGCCCTGAAGGGTATGTCCAGACAATCTGGCTGGAGAAGAAGGTCCCTGTTAGGGAATCCCAGGTGGGAAACTAGAAAGTTCATAACTGCAGGATGAGTAGAATAAGCCTTGTCCAGAAGCAGCCCAGAAACACTGGAAGTTGTGCAGGGGTCATGGCTTTAAGGTTCTGGTGAAATGAGGGGAGGAGCTGGAGATAASGAGCCTCACGGGAGACCAGGTAACAGACTAGATGCAGGTGACAGAGCTGAAAGTGGGATGCAGCTGGGGTAATGGAAAGACAGGAGCAGATATGAGAGGAAAATGCCACAGAACATGACCAGGCGAGGTCTGCAGCTGACCGGACAGGAGGGACATGGGACAAGAGCCATAGAATCCTGGAATCTGGCCTGAGGTCTCTGGGARATGGCAGAGCAGTAAACAGGAAGAGGGAGTGGGAAAAGGGAAGCAGCCTGGAAGGACGGTTTGTGTTGGACACGCAGCAGGTCTAGGGCACCTCAGAAGGACACATCCTGCTGGTGGCTGGAACTGTGGCACTGCAGACTCAGAATCAACAGTCACCTGCACAGAGAAGCTGAAGGGAAACTCTGGTAGAAATGGGAGATGAAGAAGATAGGGGGGCAGACAGAGAGGCTGAGGAAATAGAACAGAGGGGCCTCAGAACAGCCTCCACCCCACCAGTCTCAGGATGCACCAGGAGGCTGTAAAGGCACAGAGTAGGGTGTGCTCCCATGGACAGGGGTTCTCTGATGGGTTGAACTTGAACTTCAGTTGTCCGCTCTACCCAGGAGTTCTGGGCAAGTTCATGGGAAAGAAAGATGCTCTTGGATGRAGAGGCACAGAGACAGCTCCCTTCAGTATGTGTTTACTCTGCGCCCGGCACAGGAGGGAGTTCCGTGGTTTAGATCATCTAATCTCCGTCCTCATACTTCAGAGGTGGGGAAATGGGRGCACAGCAAGGCCAAGGTCCTCCGGTTGCAAGTGGCAGGACAAGGGTGTCAACTTAGGCTGATGGCTCCRGAGCCTGGCTGCTGGTATACTGTGCCACGTGGTCATAGACACGGGGTGGGTGGGTGGGGGGAAATCATTGTTTGTCCAGGGCCAGTCTTTTCTCTGCAGACCTGCAACAACAGCCTTGGGGATCCTGAGTGAGGAGGGGCCTGGATTCCTGCCCTCAGCCCTGCAGGGTGCCCTCCACCCTTCAGAGCTCAGAGGAAGGGAGAGAGGGTCAGGGAGGGAGGGAGAGCCGGGCATGGAGGGTGCCCCAYTCTCAGGAGCACTAAGAGGAGGAAGGTGGAGTGTCAGAGGGAGCCGGAGCTGGATGGAATCACCTCTCCAAGCCTCAGTTTTCTGTAAAATGGGTRTAATGATTACTTTATACGCATGCTATGAGGCGAGGAAGTGCCCAGGTCTATTCCACACTAGCACAGCGCCCACACACTGCTCTCAGCCTTCTCACCGCCTCATCCACCCCAGAACACCAGGGTCACCGCTGGGTGGCTGCCACAAGCTCCCCTGCCCCAGTAGCTGGTGTCTCAGATACTGTGAGAACAGGACTTAGAATCCACACCACAGGAGGTAGATTGAAAGGCAATAGTTCTAATCCTGACTCAGTCACTTAGTAGGGAAGTGGACGTGTTTCTTAGCCTCATGGGTCCCCTATCTTCCTTTTTAGCATATATACATGGAGTATGATTTAAAACGTGGAATTATCTATTCTCATGAAAAACCAAACCACATAGCTAAAGCCAGAGTCTGTGACGCCCTGTCCTCTAATCTCAGTCCCTCCCACAGGTAACCACTGGGATAGGCGCACACTGACCCTTTCCAGGGCTCTGCCTGTGCCGCCCAGGCGCCTGGAGAAACGCAGCCTGTCGGTGTAGGAGTTGTTTTAACTCGAGTGGTTTTGTATTTGTAACTTGTTTTGTTCATTTAATCATATTTCTTGGGAACCTTCCAAGTTCTCTTTGAGTCCTAAAAAGGGATCCTTCTGTGAGAGGTTTGGCTCTGAGAGTAGGGAAAGACTGTAAAGAAGAAAGCTGGCTGAGCCGGGCGCGGGGGGAGGGCCTGTAATCCCAGCCACCGGGAGGTGAGGCAGGAGGACTATGAGTTCAAGACCAGTCTAGGCAATTTAGTAAAACCTTGTCAAAACAAAGTAAGAAATAGAGAGGTGGACACAGGGAGAGGGAGAAAGAATAATATTAAAAAAAAAAAAAAACACCTGAGAAGCAGAAGTTAAGGGCCAAGTGCAGAGTAACAGAATTAGGGTGTACAGAGGAGTCTTTGTTCCTAACCTCCAGCTACAGTACCCCAAAAAGCCATCCAGCTCTCAGCCAGGGAACTGTGGGGTTCCAGACAAGGGAACACAGACACGGGGCTCCTGACTCACAGGGACACCCATGCAGATGTTCAGAGGCACAGCTGTAGGTGCTCAGTATAGATTCGCACAAGACGGCCATGGCCCCCACTCCACTGTCCAGCTGAGAAGTGACATGAGCATGCAGAGGGAGCTGGCTACCTGCTGGAAGCGAAAGGACTCAGATCGCCTCTTCTGGTTGAGCTGCCACTCTTTGAAGTGCAGCACKGCCTCATCCACGTTGACGATGCCCAGCTTCACCTGCTCCTGSAGGGTAATGAGCTGCCGCTGGCCTGGTGTTTTCATCCCGGCAAATGGGTCATAGATGCTCGACTGGGGCCTGTCCCTCCATGGCCTGACGGGCGGCTCTGGAAAAAATGGCAGAACTCAGCTTGACAGCTCCTCACTAGGGAGAGCGCACCCGAGGAAGAAGGTGGGGTAATGAGGCTGGTCACAGGCTCGAGAGGACATGGCCCAAAGGAACAATTACATGCAAAACCAACAAGGGGAAAATATGACACAAAATCAGGTGAGAGGGAAGCAGCTAATAATTTCAAAGTTTGTCATCTGAAAGCAGAAGAGGCTGCAACATTAAAGGGAGGCGTGAAGTCACTTGATCCTCCAAGCCTTAATTATCGAGGCACCTTTGGACCACAACTCTGACACTATTGACATTTGGGGCTAGATGATTCTTTATTGCAGGGCTGTCATGTGCATTGGAGGATGCTCAGCAGCATTCCAAGCCTCTACCTACTGGGTGCCAGTAGCACTCCTTTCCCCAGTTCTGACAACCAAATGTGTCCCCAGATATTGCCAAACATCCTTTGGGTAAAGAAGGGCAAAGTCACCCCCATTTGAGAACCACTTCTTTAGACTCCAGTGCACTCCGAGAATATACCCAGGATGTATCTCCCAGCTTCATTCCCACCCTGTCTCTGAGCAACAATTGTGGACAGACAGCCATGAAATGCCAAAGGAGACTGAAATGCCATTGGAATTGTGGCCCAGGTCCAATACCTCCAGGTATAAATGAAATGCTGGGTTACATCCTTGGGTTGTTCTGTGCCCACCTCTTTTCTATATTACAAATGCACAGCTCTCTGCTTTGGAGATTCTAAGGAAATATGAAGCCAGCCACCCCACTAACCAGGCTATGACCTCATTTCTGTGGGGAAATGAACTACTTGCAGAGAGAATGGGGCCACTGGGATATGTAAGGACAACTGGACATTTTACTTCTCAATTCATGTAGGGCTACTTGATTCCAAATTCCTTCAGCACAACCCCATTTGGACACTGTGATTTCGGGACATAGCAAGAAGGAAAAAGAGAGATGGCTTCACCAGTGGGTACCAAAAAAGACTTGAAGGGATCTTGCATATGCTTCTATGTAGCACATGCAAATTAATCAAGAGGAAAAAAAGATAGAGGAAGAAGGTTATGAACTAAACATGGCTGGCTGGTCACCAGAAGCTGGGGATGGCTTGGCCCTCCACTAGCAGCCAGCGGGAGAAGGGGATCTCAGGTTTACAATCACAGAGAACAAATTCTGTCAACAATGTGAACAAGCAAAGAGACAGATTCTCCAGTAGAGACCCTCCAGGAAGGAATGCAGAGGCAGCACTTCGTTCCTCAAACTTCCACTACAAGTTCTTAGAAAAATGACATGTACAAGTTATTACTCGACAGGAAAAAAAAATGTCTTTCAAAACAAAGTTGAATCAAAGCACAGTTGAACTAGCATAGACAGGATAAACAGGTAACCTGAAAGGTATGTATCACAGGAAAGACCGGGTGCAGGGTCACCACTTGCATTCTGTTGGCATCAGTCTCAAGGTTTAGATTGTGCTTTCATGTGCTGAAYGGACACTTTCAAGTGTCCTCTGTATGATCAATTTGTACAACAGCCTAGGGAACCTGCTTCTTCCCCCTCTTCTGTTACCTCCAGTACAGGATTTTCAGACAGCTCCTCCTCTTGGGTCTCTCTATTTGGCAATGCCAAGGAACTGTTGTTGTTATACTTGGAAACCCACCCCCCTGCCTGAGATGTGAACACCTCTCTCCTCTCTCCTCAATTTATCCAAGGGATGTGAGGACAAGAGCTGGCTTACCTTTTCTGATGCTCTCTGAGGAAACATAGAGATTTCCAGGCCGCTCTTGACTTTTTTCTGCAAAAACTGTGAGAGAAATAATATTCTGAGTAAAAGAAAAAGCATTTTTCTTTTTTCTTTCTTCAGGGCTCTATAACTTTTGCAAAAAAAAATAATGTATTAAAATCTAATGGGAAGGGCTGGGGATGTGGCTCAAGCGGTGGCGCGCTCGCTTGGCGTGCGTGCGGCCCGGGTTCGATCCTCAGCACCACAGACAAAGATGTTGTGTCCACCGAAAACTAAATAAATAAATAAATAAATATTAAAAATTAAAAAAAATTAAAAAAAAATCTAATGGGAAAAAACTGAATGAAGATGTAAGAACACCATTTCTAGTTGAGTAAGCCAAGACTCCAGAAGGAGAAAACTGAAGAGAAGCAGTAGAGATGGTCAAAAAAGACAGGTCAAACAAACAAGATCTCAAACTTACAGAGTCAGCCAGAGGACAGGTCAGCATTTACAAGATCATTAAATAAAAGGATCATGAKATGCCAATCAAAAGTAAATTGAGATCTCATCTCACTGCAGTCAGAATGGCAATGATCAAGGTAACAGGCAATAATAAATGCTAGAAAGGTTGTGGGAGGGAAGGAACACTTGTACATTGTTGGTGGACTACAAACTAGTAAAACCACTCTGGAAATCAGTATGGAGATTACTCAAAAAAATTAGAAATGGAACCACCATATATGATCCAGCTATTCCACTCCTTGGTATTTTTCCAGAAGATCAAAAATCGGCATACTACAGTGATATAGCCACCTCAATGTTTATAGCAGCACAATTCACAATAGCTAAATTATGAAATCAACTCAGATGCCCATTAATAGATGAAAAGATTAAAAATTGTGGTGTATATATACATAYATTATATTTAAAATGGAGTTCTACTCAGCCATAAAAAAGAATGAAATTAAGGTATTTGCTGGTTAAGTGGATGAAAACAGAGACTATCATGCTAAGTGAGATAATCCAAACTCAGAAACTCAAAGGTCAACTATTTCTCTCATATGTAGAAGCTAGGGTAAAATTAAGGAAAGAGGGGGTTGGGGTTGTGGCTCAGCAGTGGAGTGCTCATCCAGCATGTGTGAGGCGCTGGGTTTGATCCTCAGCACCACACAAAAAATAAATAAATAAAATAAAGGTACTGTGTCCAACTACAACTAAGTGTGTGTGTGTCCAACTACGACTAAGTGTGTGTGTGTCCAACTACGACTAAGTGTGTGTGTGTGTGTGTGTGTGTGTGTGTACATAAATTAAGGAAAGAGGGAGGGAAGGATAAGATAACATAAAGATAAAGGATCAGTAATGGAGAAGAAGGAGATCAAGAGGCAGAGTAGAGGGGTGGGCAGTGCAGAATAAATTCTTAGAAAATCATGCTAAGTGCATGTATAGCTGCACAATAGGGAACCTCACATTTATGCACAGGTAGAAAGAAGCAATCGAATATAAATTAATAGATGAGTGAAAGAAAGTCTAGTAAAGTAGAGCAAAGAGAATGGGAGAGAGGAGGGAGGGCAGGAGGGAAAAGTGGGGGAATAATGAACTGAAATAAAAGTGCATGCATGTAAGAGTTTGTTAGATGGACCCAACTACTAGTATAACTATAAACTCTAAAAAAAAAAATAGTTTTGAGTTGAAAAAAGAAGAAGAAGAAAAGGATCATGGGAACAAGGAGATATACCCAGATCCCAGAACACCTGAAGCTAGCCATGGAAGACCTTGCAGTTTGAGAATAAAAGGGGGTACCTACCACTTAACAGGCCAACGAGTGCCAACAAGACAGAACTCCAAGCAGTGGAGCAGGTGAAGTATGTGCACAGCTCCAAAGGGATTAAGATGAAGACACTCACATGGGATAGACCAATAAAGAACAACWGAGAAAATCTGGAAGTGATAAATATTTCCTCAGTAGGTATTACAATTCCCTGGGGTCTGAATAAGACTCCCTGGATCCAAATTCTCSCTCTGCCACGTATGAGCCATGTGATCTTGCACAAGAGGCTTGACCTCTCCCTGTCTCCACTTCTTACCTGTAGAATGAACACGATAAGGGCGCCTTCAATGGGTTGTCATCAGGATTAAGGGAGTTAATACTAGGAAAGTGCTTAGAACAGTGTCCAGCACATGTTCAATGTTAGCTTTCATTATCATCATGCATATTTAAACTTCAAGATCAATGCCAATAACACAATAGTGCCTTGGCACTACTAGTTAATATGAATTTTGTCAAAAGCTTTCTCTGCTTCTGTTGAGATACCTACATGATTTTTGTCTTTACTTCTATTAATTTATCAATAAATGCACATTTATCAATTTGTGGATTTGAACCCTCCTTGCATCCCTGGTGAAACCAATTTGTTCTTGGTATATAATCTTTTAATATTTTGCTGAGTATGATTTGCTAATGTCTTATTAAGGATTTTTGCATCTGTGTTCATCAGAGATAATTTCCTTTCCTTAATGTGTCCTTATCTGGTTTTGATATCAGGGTGATGGTGGCTTCATAGAATGAAATCTGGAAGTGTTCCATCCTTTTCTATTTCATAGAATAATTTGAGAAGGATTGGCATTAGTTCTTTAAAGCTCTGATAGAATTCAGCTAAGAATCCATCTGGTTCTGGGCTTTTCTTTGTTAGAAGGCTTTTTATTACTGTCTCATTCTCATTCTTGTTATTGGCCTATTTTAGTTTTCTGTATGCTTTTGGTTCAATTTTGCAGGCCAAATGTGTCTAGAGATTTCTTCCAGGTTTTCCAATTTATTGGAGTATAAGTTTTCAAAATAGTCCCTAGTGATACTTTATATTTCTGTGATGTCTGTGGTGATTTCTCCTTTATCATCACTCATTTTATTAATTCGGGTCTTTTTTTCTTTTGGTTAGTTTGGCTAAGGGGTTATCAATTTCATTTATCTTTTCAAAGAACCAACTGTTTCATGGATTCTTGGTATTTTTTATTCTCTATTTCATTTATTTCAACTCTGATCTTAATTATTTCCTTCTGGTTTTGGAATTGGTTTGTTCTTACTTTCTCTGGGGCCTTGAGAAGCATCATTAGTTTGTTTATTTGAGCTTTTTCTGATATTCTTACATAGGTACTCATAGCTATAAACTTTCCTCTTAGAATTGCCTTCATAGTATCCCAAAAGTTCTGGTATATTGTACCACTACTTTTTTTTTAATTCTAAGAATTTTTTAATCTCTTTCCTGATTTCTTCTTTTACGTATTCATAGTTCAAAGGTGGCTAATTCAATCTTCATGTGTTTATATCGTTTCTGTAGTTTTTCTTGGTGTTGATTTCTAATTTTATTCCATTATGATCTAATAAGATGCAAAGAATTTTATCAATTTTTTAATATTTTCTAAGAGTGGCTTTGTGGCCTAAAGTATGATCTATTTTGGTGAAGATCTATGAGCAATTGAGAAATGAATTTGGCTGTTGTTGGATGAAATATTCGATAGATGTCCGTGAAGTCCACTTGGTTTATAATACTTTTTAAGTTTATTTAGTCTAACTTTATTTGTGGATGACCTATCTATTGGTGAGAGAGGTATATTGAAATAACTCAGTATAATTGTACTGAGGTCTAGCTGAGTCTTTAATTGAGCCGTGTCTATTTTATGTACTTAGGTGCACTGAACTTTGGGGCATAAATATTTACTATCTTTATATCTTCTTGTTGGATTTTTCATTTTAACAGTATAAAGTGACTTTCTGTGTCTTTTCTGATTAATTTTGGTTTATGGTCTTCTTTATCAGATATGAGAGTGGCTACTACTGCTTGTTTTCATGCTCTATTTGCATGGAATATAATTTTCTATCCTCTCACTTTCAGCCGGTGGCTGTCTTTGCCTGTAAGATGAGCCTTTTGCAAACAACATATCYTTGGGTCTAGAATTGGGTGCAGTAGCACATGTCTGCAATCTTAGTGACTCTGGAGTCTGAGGCAGAAGGATTGCAAATTTGAGACCAGTCTTGGTAACTTAATGAGACAACTGCCTCAAAAAAAAATTAATATTAAAAAAGGATGGAATGTAGCTCAGTGGTAAAGTATGCCTGGGTTCAACCCCTATACCTCCCCTCCAAAAAAAAAAAAAAAAAGATAAGCAAAATCTGACATTAGACAAGGCGGTAAAAAAACGCTAGGTAATCTAACTGATGTTTATCTAGTATCTTACAAGTTTTGAAAGTACTTCTTCATGTATTATTTCACTTGACCCTCACAACTAGGTTATGACAGGGTATAATCATGTATTATTATGACATATGTATTAGTGTAGACATGTATCATTATGATACCCATTTTATAGATGAAAAAAAAAAGTTAAAAAGGGTGAAATGGATTATCTAATGTCCTATGCCATACAGCTTGAAAATACAAGAGCTGAGGGTTGAACACAGGTATTCCAACCTCCAACACATTGCCACTTTTGTCACCTCAGGCCTTTGTTTTTTCCTTTCCTTCTCCACAATTTCCTAGCAAGTCCATCAGAACTGTTTGGGAATCAACTGTGCCCCTGTCACAACTGCCTCCCTGTATGAGCTGTGCCATCAACACTGCCCCCAGCCACTGTATAGTTTAGGAATTACCAATATATATCTGCATGCTTCTTCATGTGAGCTCTTTCGGAAGCAGACCCTGAGACAATTCAAGGGCAAGTAGACTATTCAGGAGGTGATAAAGGCAAGATAAGAAGTAGATGAAGCAAGAAATGTTGGATTATCAAGCAAGTTGCCACACTGAGCAATACAGGGATCCCTGAAAAGCAATGTAGAACATGCAATTCAGAGTTCTTCTACCAGCCAGGCAAGTAAGCAAGGATATTCCTCCACCAACTTCTCTACTGGTTGGGGGAAGGGCCCTGTGTGCTAATTCTCCAGTGACTCCAGACTGTCCCACAACAGGACAGAGGAAGCTCCAGACCACAGAGAAAGTCAGGCTAAGATAACCAGTGCACACAGGTGGAATCCAGCCAGTAGGGACAAAAATATAAAGAGCTAAGGGGACACGGGCAGGGCACCAACAGTTTCTGCTGGATATGCCAAAGGAGACACACCCAAGGAAATAAGAAAAGTGAGTATTGTTGGCATTTGCCAGTACAGAAAACCCCCAAATTGTATTGCAACATATTTAGGATTACCAGATTGAGCAAAACAAAACCAAAGAAGGGACCTAGTTGGGACATACATTAAAAATTCATTGGCTGTTCATCTTCAATTCAAATTGGGCATCCTGTATTTTGTCTGGCAACCCCAACCCAGTTACAGGGCACTCTGGTTGAACACTAGGTTATGACAGGGTATAATCATGTATTATTACAATCTCTTCTTAGCACACTTTCCACAGCATGCTTATAACTATTAAAAGTGGAATATAAGTCARGAGCACAGATCTGGTGATTCTTCTACTCTTATAGTACTTGAAACCATATTAATATAATCAAGTTCTGAAAGAAGTAAAATTGACAATGCCATCAGGAACAGTTATAACACCAGTCTCACCAATTTTTATTAGTGTAGGTTGGTAGACAGCCTAGCATAGAGGCTAAAAGTCAAGGCTGGGGAGTCAGAATCCCTGGGTTCAAATCCTGGCTCTGCYGCATGGTAGTTGAGTGACCTTTGTAAGCCTCCAATTCCTTATCTGTAAAATAGGGTTAGTGGTCCTTACCTAAAATATCATCATATAGATTAAATGTCATCTTCCAGATAGAGTACTCTTAGTAGATTTCAGTAAATGGTAGCTATTAAAATTATGAATAATACCCAAAAGGGCTTCAGAAGATAAGAACTGACTGAGGTTCTATTTGCCAGTCTTTGCAATTGCACATGAATGCCAACACTCGGGAAGGCTGGCACTGAGTTCCATCATTGCCTCTGATCTAGTTCCAGAAATTGTTCCAAGCTATGACCCAGGCTCCTAGGGCTGGCTAGAGACCATTCAGGAGAGAACAGCCTCTAAGCAATGGTTGAGAAAGCCAGGGGACCCRGGAAATTCCTGAGATACTCTTAAGACCCCCTCTGAGCATTGTTCTCTGCCACACTTACCTTTAGAAATGTACGGTTCATTGTCCGGCAACTGATGAGTGCCAAGAGCACTGGCCTCTGGCCTGGGCACTGGGACAGGGGGCCTGCTGGCCAGGTCCACAGAAAAGGCTTCGTCGTCATCCACTATGTGATAAACATCTTCTTCCCCACCAGGATGGTGCTGCTCTCTCTTCCAGTTAGCCCTTTCCATGCTGTTCCCTAGAAACACAGAGAAAGGTTTCTGAAAGCAATGGTCAAACAAATTGGGTAACAGCCAGTCATGAGAGCAGAGAAAATGACCATTCCTTATCAGTACAGTTCTGGCCTTGGGCAAAGGGCTTTCCTGCATCACCTTCTGCATCATCTTCTCAGAGAAACCCGACGTCTCCTTCATTTGCCACCTATCAGTGCAGCCAGAGAAGTAGGCATCAGGCTCTAACACATCAAATTAACTGCTGTTCCGTATCCCATTAGAACTGGGGGGAAGAGAGCACAACCCTGACAGGTCAAGGTCATGTGGGTCCATCCCCAGTGTGAGGATGTCCTGGATACCTGCCACCAAGTTCTTCAGCATCCTCCTTGTCCTCCTCAAAATGGTTCCAAGAAATAGCTTCTGGGGACTTCCTCCATGCCAAGCACTACCCCAGGTGTATCGCCTCATCATTATCTCCTTTGATTTTATAATAATGCTGTGGCACAGTTATTTTTATTAATCTCACTTTGCAGATGAAGAAACTGGGCCTGTGAGGAYTTAAGTAACTTTCCCAAAGCTACTTGGAGCCAGGTTGGCACCCAGGAAACATACCACAGCTGTACTCTTAACCCCCATGATCTCTTGCTTCTTTTGCAACCTCTAATCCCAACGCTGCTCCCCGCTGACCAAAAAGATTGAGAATGGAAACATGCTTCCCACCCTCTGCCCACCAGGGGCCCACAGCCCTCAAGTTTTCTCTGCAGTGTTCAGTTTCTTCTCCCTAGCATTTAATAATGGGCATTATTAAATGCCCATTTGAGATACAGGAATGAATAGAGACGGGGCCTTTGGGAGACTTATTGGGGACTTTTGGTTTGTTGCATTTGTTTCTGTGCTGCAGGGAGATTGCCCTTGGCTTTCTGGCATCATGGTCCTGGGGATTGACCAGGCTAGTTCCAACTTACTAGAGGTCTCTAGTTCATAGGGCACTGCCCTCAAGATATATTTTTATTTATCTGCCCATCTTTGAACATATTGTGCAAGGGCATAAGGAAGCTCAGGGTGGAGGGGTGTTGTCTGATATTAACACAATGAGAAGTCCTGGAAGAGCTGCTGGCCACCCTATAGGGGTGACAGTGAATCCCATAGCCCCTGTCTCTCTCTCACAGTCCTCAGATACATTGGTTTTGCTTCAGTTCATCCAGCCAAACTCTTTTCTGTCTCAGGCCTGTTGTTCCTCTGCTTAGAACCTTCTTCCCTCCACATGGTGCCAACCGAGTGACTTCCCCAAGTCTCATCTGAACTGCCGCCTTCTCTAAGAGTTCTCACTGATCATCCGGTCTAAATTGAGTCCACCCTGTGGTTTATCCTCACCCTATGTATTAGTGCTCAGGCTGTTCCTGCCTCTCTCACTTCCTGGACTGTCAGCTACAGGAGGACAGCTCCTGCCCCTGGCTCCCTGCAATGTCTTCCAGTCAAATGCAGGGCCTTTYCCATGGCAGGTGTTCAGGAACATCCTTAGAAAGAATGGATGAATCAATTCTGGGTGGTACATGCTCTCTGGGACAAGCAGAGATCCATGCATCTGGTTTGAGCCCACACAACAGCCTGCGTACCATGACTGCTCTCCTTCCCAACATCTTYCTGATCTGATCTGGGAAGACTCTGAGGGACCCTCAGGCAGATCTCAGGATATTACACTATCAGGGTAAGAGGAGGCTTTTTCTCCATGGCAGAGAAATATTTATGGTTTTAGAAGTCATAGAAGAAATTCAGGAGCCTAGGGACCAATAACAGCTACTTCCTTAGCAACATTTGTCCACAGGTGGAACATTTGTTGCAAGTCCCAGGAAGAAGCACTTTTATTGGACTGTGCATCCTGCCCCTCCTTCATTCTATTAGCAGCTACAGATAAGCACCCCAACTACTCCCTTGGCTCCTGCTGGCCAAACTAGAGATGTCTGAAGGAAGAATCTGCAGGCCACCCCAGCTGCCAGGCTCCCTGGGACCAACAAATGCTAGGGAAGCAAAAGAGAAAAATTGTAAGAGATTTACTGCCCTATGTATAAAGTCACCTCAAAGGAACTGAATTCTGTGCTACTGGAGTCCCTGCCAGAATGAATTCTGAGCCTGTTTCTCAGTCACTCTCATCTTGATCAGATCAAGCCATTTAAAGCAATTAACTAATGAATTAAACAACAAACATTTGCCAATATAATCCAGGTACTGCTTAGTGCCAGGGACTGTATTTTATTGGGGACAGAAAGTTAATCCCTGCCTAGAACTTCACAACTTTCTGATGCTGACTGGCTGCTGGCCTCATGAATGAAGTGAGGGGACAAGTCCTCAAAGCCTGGCCCCAGGTCACCTGTCCCAGCCTCATCTCTACGCTTCCCTTCCCACCCTTCATAGACACCAGGTATGTTGTTACCAAACAAATTCCTCAAAGCTGCATTCTTTCCTCTCTGCAGAATCCAAGAGAGATCACATTAGATAGAAATGAGAGGCTGAGCAGAGAGTTGGGGAACAGTTCCAGTTTTGTCTGCATTGTACACTAAGCCTCCATGTAAGATTTTATTTGAAAACAATATTCAAGACACCCCTGGTGCGAATAAAAGCTTGGTAGAATATCACAAAGGAAAGTGATCTGTCAAACTCATAAATATGCACTTCCTTAGACCCAGCAATTTTATTTCTCCCCTGCCTGAGCTGCACGTGTGTGCTTGCATGTGTGCGTGTTCTCTCACTTGCTCGCTATCTCTCTCTCTCTGTCTCTTTTTCCCCCAGCACTGGAGATTAAACCCATGGACACTTTATCACTGAGTTACATACCCAGCTCTTTCATTTTACTTATTACTTTACTTATATTGGGGCAGGGCCTCGCCAAGTTGCAGAGGCTGGCCTCAGATTTGCAATCCTCCTACCTCAGTCTCCCAAGCCAAGTTGCTAGACTTACAGGGCCATGCCACCACTCCTGGCTCCAGCAGTTCCATTTCTAGTAATTTATAGCACACACAGACCCAAACATGTGAAAAGATAGTACACACAACAAAGCTATTATTGTGCAAAGGTTTATAAAAGCAAAAAGCTGAAGATGACCTAAATAATCTCAACAAGAAACTGGTTAAATACATTAGGTAATATTATATATATAATGGAACACTAGCTGTTAAAAATGAGTGTTTGTGCTTATGTGATATTTCTTGTGAATAAAAAGAAAAGAAGATACATTCATGTGCATATGAACATGTTCAGGAGTTTTTTTGGAGAATCTATAGTGGGAGACTTATTTTCATTGCTTAACTTTTTGTATCACTTGAATTTTTACTATTTGCATATTTTACAATATTAAAAAACAACAGCAACCAGTGAGAAACAAAGGGGAATCAAAAGAGGATTCCATTGTTTAAAAAAGAAAGAAAGGAAAGGAAAGCACTGCCCTAGACCTGAGATTCTCAAGTGGGTCCCTGGACTAGCAGCACCATAACCCAGGAACCTGTCAGGAAGATGAATCTCAGGTCGCACCCCAACCTATTGAATCAGACACCCAGAAATCTGGGTTTTGACAAGCCCTCCAGGTGGGTCTGATGCACATTCAAGTTTGAGAACCTCTGCTAAAGGAAAAAATGTTAGAAAGCTTTGCTATGGCAGCTAGTATGTACTGAACACCTACTATGTGCCACCTGCCCCTCCTGAGCCTCATCCTTTCAGCATTCTGCTTTCTGTATCTATCTACTTGATCAACAGGCACACTATAAGTTATAAATCACTGGATAGGGTTAAGGAATTATTTATACAATACTTTTATTATACAATTATTTATGCAATACTTTTCACCTATGAAATCCTCAATTCTAATAATGACAACATTATAAACCTGTGTTATGTGCCTGGCCCTGCTCTGAAGCCTAACGTACAAYAACTCATTGAATCCTCACAACATTTATAGCTAAGGAAACTGAGGCCCAGAAGAGATGAGTAACTGGCCTGAGGTGTCCCAGTTAACCAAAGGAGGAAGTGAATACAGATCAGAGTCCACCATCAAAATAGTCTTGATTTAGTCAAACTTGTGGATATTCTCCTCCTCCACCAAAAAGTAATCACATCTTACTTTTCCTTATGTCTCAGACTCACCTCCAGAATAGTGCCCTGCACGTAGTAGATACTACATAAATATCTATCAAATACAAATAAACACATGTATTTTAAAAGACTTCTTACTAGAGGCAACTGGTCTACCAAATGAGTGGTTTCAGTGGCACGAGCTTCTGGCCCATGGGTAATGGGCAGGAGGAATAGGTGGCAGAGGTGAGTGGGGAGGAGGAGTACCTATCACCACATCAGATGCTATTATGTGGCAGCCTGTTCCTTGAGTGGGACAACCTTCATATGGAATCAGGCACTGTTTCCGTTTTTGCTTCTCTGTTCACAGATAACAACTTACCTTCTAAAAACTTGCGGATCATAGAGTCCTTAGTGGGCCGAGAGAAGCCATCTCCAGGGACAGGTTTAGATGTACTGGCCTGAAGCATTTCAACATCTAGAAGGAAAGGGAGACTAGGCGTTGATGTTTTGTTCTTCTGTACAGGCAAGGTGACTTTATACATGGATTTACAACGTTTAGCAACATTCTTAAAAGATCCAGGTATTCATTCAGAGCTGGGCATGGCAGAACACACCTGTAATCCCAGCAGCTCAGGAGGCTGAGGTAGGAAGATCACAAATTTGAGGCCAAAATAAAAACTAAAAAAAAAAGGGCTGGAGGTGTAGCTCAGTGGTAGAGCATTTGACTAGCACGCATGAGGCCCTGGGTTCACTCCCCAGCAACAGAAAAAAAAAATAAAAAAGATTTAAGCATTCATCTCATGCATCCTTTCATCCAATCATCTACTCAGTAAGAACATGTAGTGAGTATGAGCATAAAAGAAAGCAACATTCACAATCCCTGACCCTTTTCTCAGTCACAGACCCCAGAAGGTATAGTTACTCCTATGCATTTGAAAGAACAGGTTGAATTTTGAAATATATACACCAAAATGGATGTAGAAACAATAGAAAATAGATAAACTGTGGGTTATTCAAACAATGGAACATTATGCAACAGCTAAAAAGAATGGATTGGATTCACATCTATCAACATAGACATCTCAAAAACCTAGCAGTTGGGTGAAAAAGTTACAGACAGGTGATTACAGTATGTTGTGTTTATATAATGTCTGAAGGCCTTYAAATAGTGTTATAAATTGTTTCTAAATTCATAAAAATGTAGTACACATATAAATATGCTGACAATGGTAACATTAAATTCCTCATAGTGGTTAGCTCTGGAGAGGGAAAAAGGACAGCTAGATTCCAGTAGGTRTTAACAGGGATTGCACCTGGGACCACAATATTTAATTTAAAAAAATCTGAGACCAAAAAAACAAAAACAAAGAAAATACATATTCTTGAAGATTCTGATAAATCTGAAGAATCAGAATCTTCCAAAACATATATTTTAAATAATTAATATGTTACCCAAAGGGGGAAAATAAGATTCTTTTTTTGGTATTTGCTTGTATATGTAAAAAAAAAAAAAAAAAAAAACTCTGGAAGGAGATGTAAGAAATTGGAATCAGTGGTTTCCTGGGAACTGAAAAGATGAAGACAAGAAATGGAGAAAGTTATTCCACTGGTCACATTTTAGTATTTTTCTTTCCCTATTCAAAAAACAAAAAGAAGAAGGAGGAGGAGGAGGAAGAGGAAGAAAGAAATGCAGTGCTCTGACCATTGTTTGTGTCACCTGATTATCACAAAGGTACAAAACAAAACCAATTTCTCATCTCTACCTTTCTTAGTGGACACATTGCATGGACTATCATAGGCCCTGACACCCTCGAGTGCAAAAGCCCTGAGATTCTAAACAAGGAACCAGTTAGTAAGTCACTATCCCCTCTTTGAACCCCTGAATTCTACAACGGAGGCTGTAGTGAGATTGGAGTGCACACCTAGGGGTTGGTTAATTCTCCAAAATGTTTTCTGACAAGAACTTATTCTTAATTCAAGACCAGCAAAATTCAAGACCACGGAATTTCTACTTATGAGATTTTCAGTTTAGTCCATTTAATTACAGTTTTATGGAGCATTTCCCCCATGGAGTTAGAATACTGGGAAGACATATCCTACAGGTGTGTACCCTGCTGGGAGCAGAACCCTCATCTAATTGACCAAGACCCTGTGTTACTATCCCCTCCCGGTCCATAGTGCAACCTCCACAGCCTGACCTTGACCCTGATCCCACTCAACTTTTGAAATTCTTCATTTTGAAACTTCATTTACCCAACAACGAATCACAGAAGACCAAGGAAAGACCTGCTTGGGTCAGATACCCCCAGAAATGCAGGATGGGGGAAACTCTGGAGGCCTATCACTGGGCTTCAAACTGTAAGTCACAAAACCCTCTAGAAACCCACAGCTGGCTCAGGCCCAAGTGTCTCCAAGAACCTGGCCCAGAGCCCAGCAACCTCAGGACAGTTTYAATCACTATAACCAAATTCTTCAGGTTGGTAACAGCAGAGCACAGACCTCACTTACACAATCTGTCATCCCTGTTGACGGGGTGGTGAAAGGGTCATGAGACGGCCCAGCCACTTTCACTAGCAAAGTTCAATATGAGAGAACTGTTTTCCATGTCTGAGAGGTGGCTGCAGAACTGACTACAAAGAAAATTAGCAAAATATGTTAGAAAACAGTAGCAGCAAGACCTGCCTGGCTGGAGCTGACATGCTAATAATAACTACCCTGGATCACAAGCCCCATCTTAGTGAGCTGAATATGGGGGTGGGGGGAGGACTTAAAGAATGAATAAAACAAAAGAAAAGAAAAAAGAAGGCACATCAGTAATCAGACATTATCCACACCACGAGCCCTTGATGCACTATGCATTGATGAGGACATAAGAGCATTCTTACCGCATTCTTATCCAAAGCTCATAACCTCAGTACACTCACAGAAAACACTGACCCAGCCAGCCTGGGGGATGATCTATCAGATAGGGGATCAGCACTCTTCAAAGTACCTAGACAGAGAAAGACTGAGGAACTGTTTCAAACCCGAGTAGACTAAAGGGAAATAACTAATGTGTTGTAAGATCCTAGGCAGGATACCAGGACAGCAAAGGGACATTAGCAGGGAAACCAGTGAAAGCTGAACAAGGTCTGCAGTGTAGGAGGCTGTCCCAGACAACGGAAGCCCCTCACTGTGACCTTTGTACTGTGGCTATCTCAGATGCTAATATCAAGTAACCTGGGTAAAAGGTATGCGGGAGCTCTAGTATATTTGTAACGTTTCTCTAAGGCTAAAAGTTTGCTCAGAATATTTTTTTTAAAGAAGAAAAATAGATGAGACGAGGAGGGGAGGAACTGTAACAAGAAGTAAAGAAGCATAACTCACTGGTGGCCCTGTGCTGAGCTTCCGTCCCACCCACCCACACTGTCAAGGCAAGCACCTTCCGATGACATATGCACATTTGGGTACAGTGATCAAAGTAGCGCTCAACACACCTCCTGTGAGAAACAAATCTTTTCACTTTAAAGTCATACCTTAACCGCATGATTCTGGAAGTCGACAAACTAGACTCCGCTAAACCTGTGCTCTGTGACCTTAGCAGAGTTACCAACCTCCTTGAGCCTCCCTGAGAGCGTCTAGCCGAATGGTTAGAGGCTTGAGCAGCAGATCAGAATGCCCAGGTTCCAATTTTAATTTTCTACCTCTTTCATTCTCCTGGTTGTACGACTACACAGCCACCAGTCCAACACCAACTAATATTTACAGGTCTATCAGAATGTTCAGACTCACAAAATGACCATGACTGGCATCCGTCTACTCAAAAGAATGCAGGATGCAGGCCAGCATCACAATGTTAAGAAGCGTTCATTGACTAGGTGTGCCAGGCTGTAAGTCCAGAGGAAAGGCCATGAGATCCCCAGCAGGCAGGTGTAGGAGCTGCCCTGGTGCAAAGCCTCTGTATTGCAGGACCACCATCTTCCCATAGCACCCCCAGAGGCTGAGCTTCCAGTCATTGCCCTCAGAGAAGCCCTGGGTATGGGTCCCTTTCGGGTATTTATAGTTTATGTATAGCTCCTCCCAGGTCTAGATATAATTAACCAATCAGGGGTCATTTTTATCATAGGTAATGTTGCCTAGAAACACAGCTGACATTTGGCTCTTATCAGGTTACCAGGGTAACAGAGCTAGGAAGTCAACCAAAGGTCAAATTCTCATGCAGAAAGAGAAATGATAGCTGTTACAGTAACTCTTTGCCCATAATTATCTTGGGTCAAATTGCTTAATCCGCTCAGCTTCTCTTTTCCTGTCTGTAAAATGGTGATGATAATTGTACATATCTCATAGGGTTGTCCTGCATATTAAATGAGAAGCTTGCCAAGAGCATAGGATAGTGCGTAGCAGGTCTGGGGCTGGGGCTCAGTGATGCAGAGCTCGCCTAGCATGTGTGAGGCCCTGGGTTTTCAATCCCCAGCACAATAATAAAAAAAAAAAAAGAACAGTGCTTCACATATATGAATGCTTGTGACTATTATTATTACTGTTATCTGTTATTAGTAATTCCTATACGGAGGCTAACGTCTTAAGTAGAGAACAATTCAAAAAGGAAGAATCATTTGAAAATTTTTAACACTGGGAATGAAGCTCAGTGGTGAAGCAGTTACCTGGCATGTGCAAAGTTCTTGGTTCAATCCCTAGCACCACAAAAAAAGAAAAGTTCAAATTGACAAATAACAATTGTATATATTTATGGGGTACAGGGTGATAATTTAGTATATTTATACATTGCATAATGATAAAAGCAGGGTAATCAGCATTCCTATCTCTTTAAACATTTATCTTTTTTTGTGTGTTGGGGACCTTTGAACACTTCCCTTTTAGTTTTTTATAAATACATAATCATTGTGAACTATAGTCACCCTACTGACTAGAACACTAGAATTTACTCTTCCTCTGTAACTATACTTTGGTACTATTGTCTAAGCTCCCATTATCTCCTCTCCCCACTACCCTTTCCTAACCTATAGAGCTGGACAGTACTTCTAAGATATCAACATTYTTATCTTCTACATATAAGTGAGAACATGTGCCATTTATCTTCTGTGCCTGGCTAGGTTCACTTAGCTCAATGTCCTTCAGTTCATTCATGCTGCTACAAATGACAGGGTTTCATTCATTTTTATGACTAGATAATATTCCATTGTGGGTGTGTATGTGTGTGTCTGTGTGTGTGCATGCATGACCACACATCACATTTTCTTTATCCATTCATCCACCAATGGATATTTCAGTTGATTCCATATCTTGCTTATCATGGATAATGATAATCAAATTTCAGATTCTCGTATTAACTCTTTGCCCACAATTATCTTGGGTCAAGGACATGGAAATGCAGAAGTCTCCTGGACATACTGAKTTCGCTTCTTTTGGATATACACCCAGGCGTGGGATTTTGCTGGATTGCATGGTAGTTCTGTTCTAGTTTTCTAAGGAACC